ATTTAGTGCAGGCCTGAATAAGTACCAGTATGATTCCTTCGGGCTCCTTATAGTTCTACTTTACACACCCCAACTCCCTATCCTGGAAATAATATAAAGCCCCCAATACTGAACCGTAGTATCTAGAAATCCTTCAAGGAACCCTCAAAGGATTTCTAATTACTTGAATAAATCAGTCAGCCCTATCTTACGGTGACGTCACCGAATAGAGTCAAGCCAGCGGCAAGGATCACGGTTGTTGCGCAGTCCTGCGATGAACAACGCAACATTGCTCGTATCACCGGCATTGCCAACCCTCATACTGACTGGTTGGCTTTCCAATGGGGTCCAGAGCCTCCTCACCAGAATCTGTCCGGGGTTAATATTAAACCTAAAGACTTAACTTCTAGACGGCTGAGATTCAAGCTAAGTTAGGGTTCTCTCCTTTGGACCCACTCCGTCAGACTCGGAGAACCCAATAGTCTGGGTAACCGCGGGCAGCCCTGACAGTCTGAGACCGCGATGCCTCACTTGAAACCTATGGGATCTAAGGACTCCTAAAGGGCTCCTTTAAAGGGATCTATTTGGGTTCCTTGAAAGGGATCTTGAAAGGCGATCTTGACGGATTAGGGATCTAAGGACTCATATATTAAGGCTTTTTGGGTCAACGACCATACTAAATAAGGCTTTTGGGGCTATTTCGATCACCAGGGAAAGTTCTTTTCCTGTTTAGGGGTTTAGGGTTGAGGGTTCTGTTCAGGTTTCACGTTCAGGATTCTTTCCCAATTTAGGGTTGAGCACTTAAGCAAAGCTACACCTTGAGCCCCAAAGCACTATAGGCACTCTATAGTCCTGCGCACTATACACCCCATGAACCCTTTGAGCCCTAGAGCCCAAACACTCCAAACGTATGCCCATAAAACAAATGAAAGTGTTTGTCAAGATCATATAGTGCATTTCACTATACTGGAAACAAGGTACTGTGGTAGTTCAATATACGCATTCGCTTAGCTGGAGGCCTTCGGTGCAGACTCTTTCGCTTATGCCCACGCGTCCAAGCACGACATGGCGATCGGGCAGAGACAGGGGGAACGACGAGATACTGCACTCTCCATCGAAATTCTGATGCGTGTGCCTAGTCCCACCTCGTGTAAGGAGTTTGACTCGTACTTCTTTTCCAAAGGCACTGCAGGGCGTGGTAGCTCCAGAACCAAGAAGGCGTATATGCCGAAAGAACGGTTTAGGGTTCAGGGTTTAGGGTTTAGGGAACTGCGCAGCACAATGTACCTACATCTCGGCCTTAAACCTTTGTCATAGTTGGGTAACATCTTACATTTTCTGGGGTACTTAAACCCAATAAGGAATAAAACTGTACATTTTTCATCCTATCCCAACCATGAACTAGGGTAGTTGTCAACATTATGGTCCCTTTTGGGGTACCCTAAATATTAGGTGCCGTATTCTAATAGGGATCCCAAAAGGGACCATAATTATGACAACCTCCTTAGAAACCCAGCCGCCAAGAAAGATCAAGAGAGAAGCTCTACACTCGGAAAGGCCTTTGATGCTTGAACCGAGCAGGTGGCTCCCCTGCCTGAGCCATAAACCCTAAAGCTGGGTTGTGCCTTGGGATAATTTCTAATTTCCCTTATTTCCTTATAAAGGGAACCTATTCATAAATAACTTTCAAAGGTTTTAAAGCACAACCCAGTAAACCTCTAGAACAGAACTTAAAACCACTGTGCTTTAGTCGAGGCCTGAGTAGTTGCTTGCACTATCCCCTAGGGCTCCATACTGTAACTGTATTATCATATGCCTGGAATCCCTAAAGTCTGATTAGTAAGACCGTCGTATCATAGAAACTGGTGTCCCGTTAAACTATAGAGGATCCTTTTCGGCTTTTTTGGGCCGCGGGAACCTCGACGTTCCTCCAAGGCAGAACCGAGACATCTGCCAGTGACTTCCGGCGCGCCGTTTCTGTAAATCAGAGGGTTCCTTCAAATGTTGCGATGATGGTTACTCTAAGGGCTCCTTGAAGGGTTCTATCCGAGGCCAATCATAAGCTTTTGGTTAGATCATAGTCCTGTCGCTACCCCCAACAGAGCATGTAGACCTAAACCCGAAGGCCAGAAATTGTCAGACCCAGCAACCTCCCAAGTACAACATTGAGGAACTTCCAGAAAGACCCCCAAAACAGTAAGATCCCTCACATGCGGACCTCCAAAACGGAATCCCTAATCGCAGGAGCTTCCCACCGAGCCTGAGACCCCCAAGTAGTGGGAGCCTTACTAGAAGCATCCCAGCAGCCTAAGAACGAATCCCGACTGTACGGGTTTAGGGTTTAGGGTAGGAGCTAAGCTTGAAACTGAGCCCAGAGAGCCCAATACCCCTTAATTAAGGAATATGGCTTAAATTATATAGGGCTTCAGATTTAAGCCATATTCCTTAATTAAGGGGTATTGGGCTCTCTGGGAGACTTTTAGGGTTTAGGGACGGCGCATCGAGAGCTGAAATCGGAGTTGTCACTGGTAGCGGCCCAGAAGTTACGTCGATTCAACGGCCACGTGCGCACAAGAAAGGTGCTCTTCAAGGGACTAAGGTAAGTACCTATAAAGTAGAATGTAGGTTTTGGATATTCAAGGAATCATACTTGTTATGAGTTTGAGAAACTATTGAAACGATTCCCAATAACTATAACCTACGGTTGATGATAAAAAATCCTGCGTTACCCATCATAAGGAATATACCATAATTCCCAAAGTCTAGGGGCCTTAAGGTAACGCAGGATTTATCTCATCAACCCAAACCCTACACCCTTTAGATAGATCCCTGAAAGGAACCCCTTAAGGGTATCCTTATAGATCCCTTTTGTAGGAACCCTAGTGTGTTAACCATCTGCCCTATAGGACCCTTTGGGAGGCATTCCGGTTCCTGTGGAGGCTCGGGGCTCTGAGAGTTTCAGGCGACAGAAACCAGCCTTGTCATTTTTCATGGTTCCCCCAAAAGAATAAACACACCGGCTAGTAGACCTTCTTCAATGATTCCTACTAAGGGATATCGGTACAGGGCTCTGTCTATTATTTCTAAAAGGACGAGGGCGACAAAAACGCCAGGCCCTGTAAAGCATTCCCAGAGGCTCCACATGGGTAATTTAGGGGCCGAAATTTTTACCAATACTATGTTGGGGGTTCCTTATTATGATTTTAGTATAAAGGGCGCCCAAACCCTATTCTAAAAAATAAGGCCCCCTATTTTAGTTGACAAATCATGGTCCCTGTTTAGATCCCTAATATGATACGGCACCTAATATTGAAGGTACCCAGAAAGGGACCCTAATGTTGACAACCTCTCACATACACTACCATTATGGGTTCCTTTGAGGATTGCTTGAAGGGGTCTAAAGGGTTTAGGGTATAAGGCTCCATATATACTGCCATGTTGGAATTACGTCCCAGAAGACCGTCCTTATTCTGGCTATTTTGGGGACCTAATTCCATAGTGGTTGTATATGAGGAGCCTCTAGGATTGCGGTTTGACGGCCGGCTAGGGTTTTGGGTTTGGGTCCAGGGCCCATCATAGATCGTTTCTCGAATCTGTTTATCTCTGTATCTGTGTATCGGCACCTGTCCGGGCGTTTAAACTTTTGTATCATCAGAAACACACTTTGTTGGACCAGGGAACTCAACAACCATGTAGGCAGAAACCAAGACTACACCCGCAGCCCTGAAATAACAGCCCCAAGACTACTACGTCGTTAAGCTGGGTTAAGCCCTAAACCCTCAACCCTAAGCCCTAAACTCTAAACCCTCAACCCTTAGACTCCAACCCACAGGCGCCTATCCTCAAACCCTAAGCCCTTTAAAGGCGCACCCCGGAACTTTAAATGCTGGAACCGAGGCATCTGTCTCGTAAGCCCTACTTAGACCCTAGGCCTCCAGGGACCTTAGTGTTGGGTCCTTAAGGGGTCTAGGGCCCTAACTATGAGGTCCTTAGAGGCATTGGGAGAGGTTTAGGTTAAGGGTTTAGAGTCATGGACTTGAAATACGTAGTCCATCTGTGTGGATGAAGGCCAGAATACGTACATTTATACTATCCTCCTGTAGACCTATATGGGAGTTTCCGCAAATAGGGGGCCCTAATATAGTACCCTAAATAGTAGGATCCTTATTATAAGGACCCCAAATAAGGTACCCCTAATTTTCGGAAACTCTAAACCCTTATATAGAGCCCTTGAGAGGAACCCTTTTAGTATCCTTATAATAACCCTTTAAAGGAACCCTTAGGGCCTTACTCGACAACACCCTTTCGGCCGACTGAGCTTTGGTTTTCAGGGGATACCGCACAGACAACACAGACAGAAAGAACTCCAACTACCAAAGGGGCTTAAAATTAATTACCTACACTATTGTGAGGGTTCCTTATGATGAAAGTATAATGGGCAAAAAACTCCGAATCCGGAACTGCGAAGCCCAAGAACGAAAACTTGTAAGCCTGATAGAAGCTCTATGAAATGCATATAGCACCCTTGTAGCCTCATAGAGTCTTTTCCAGACCTCGTCTAGAACCTCTTTTGGCGGAAATCTGAAGTGGCCGCTACAAGATAGCCAACTTCCAAGCTCCAAGAAGATGCAAACCTAAGCTCAGAGCCCCAACCCTACCCAGATCCTAACAATCTATTATTGGTGTGTCCCAGTCAGGAAGTCTGACCTGTGGTAGGTTTGTTGGTTGTCTCATTCTCTGGCTAGAGCATCCCAACCATGAACTAAGTTATCCAAGAAAACGTGATAGATTCTAGGGAACCTTACAACCGTGAAGATCATACACTTCAGAATTCTTTAATGGCTTAGAACACCAGCCCCCAAGAAATTCCAAACCCCTGTACAGATCATCTTAACCGTTAACCGCAACCCTGTATACATCCTGAAGCCTACCCCAAAGCCGAAGAATCGTAATAGCTTGCGCTGGTGTCCCTAAAGCCTAAACCTCAAGCCCCAAACCCTTCATGGGCAATAGCATGAAGCATGGTCACGAAGCTCATGGATGTGGCGGAAATCCGCTTTACCCAGGACTTGGCTGTGCATGTGTAAAAAGCTTCAGGAGGTTTAGGGTTAACTTTAGGATTTATTTCAACTTAGTTACATGGTCGGTTTCGGGGTGTTTAGGGCTAAACTTAGGGAGCTTTGTTTCGACGTTTGTTAAAGATCAAAGGTTTCTAGAGCCGGCACGAGGAGAGGCGTTTGAGAGAAGAGAAGGCGCGGGAGGAGGAAGACGAGAGGCGCCGAGAGGCTCGCAGGGAGCAGGGTCTCAGGCAGAGGATCAGAGCGGAGGGCTCTGCCGAGATGCGCCAGCATGTGAATGCGGTGGTGGAGAGGTTGCTGGAGGAGAGGCATAATGCCTGGGTACAGCAGGCAAACGCCGAAGGTGCTGCGCTTCCCACCCCTTCCGCAGATGCTGGCTCAGCTGATGATCGTGCTCTCCTCGGTCACGGAGGCACAGATGATGTTGGTCCACGAAGGTGAGCAGGCGAACAACCGGCACCAGGAGCTCATTCAGCAGGTCGCCTCGCTGACTCGCGGACAGCAAGCAGTCAACGCCCGGCTGGCAGATGCGGTGGCGAGACAGATGGGGCCAGTACCCAGACATTCCAGAATTCGTGCTTGGATTATAGTAACAGTAGGATCCCGAGTATGAATTAAGTCATGCTTCAGGTCGCCATGACTCGCCATGAACGGGGGGTTTAAGGTTTAGAGAGTGAGTTTGGGTTCAGGCAGCGGCACCCCACACCCCAAATATGGCCCTAAACCCAGCGTTTGATCCTAATCCTCTGAGGCTTCATGTTTGCGTGTGGGTTTTGTGCCTGAAGATCCGCTTCGCAAGGCAGTTGCATGATTACGAGCCCTCTAAATTCAGGGTTTTGTATGCAGGGTATACCCTGAACCCTCAACCGAAACCTTCCTCAACCCGACAGCGCTAAACCTGCACGTCCCGAAAGAGGCAGCGCTGCAATTGGACACCTGCGAGCAGAATCTGCAATAACTAGGCTGTCAGCACAAAATGTCCGACAGAGCAGCCTCTGTAAGGACGCCTCCACCCGAAGCTCTGAACCACCTCAATCGCAAATCCCCCAAACCGAAAAGAAACAATAAACACTAAACACCACTCCCAAAGCTCCCTAAACCCCCAAACACTACATCCCCAGCAATGAATCTCAAACCCTAAACCCAAGCAATGAATCTCAAACCATTTCCCTGGATCTTGAACGAGGAGCATGTCTACGACACGTTCAATGCCAACTCGGAGCGGGCATGCACTGATGTGACCCTTCAAACCCACTTAAAGTATCATGGGACATTAGTAATTACGGTTATTCTTATGGTAGCTATACTTATAACCCCAAGTAAGGTACTTACAAGATATACCTACTCAGTCCCAGGATCCTCCAAGTATGGTCCTGAATAGTAGGCGATTGGGTCTGCAGAGGAAGCTGAGACTTCTAGGTGGGTCTGGTGGTTTTGGATAAGACTGTTGTACCTTTCACCTCCTGGGGCTAATATAATCCTACCATAACTCAACACCCAAAGGGTCCAAAGTACCTATATAGTAGAATGTAGGGTTTCTATATTAGGAATTACTAGTATGATTTGGGGAAGTATCCCCCATAACAGCACATAGGACCTTTGTTGGGCCAGTGCACTCAGCCCGTAAGTGCATGACCTTTGCGGAGGAAGATCGGGGCTTCTGCTTGGGGGGCTTGGGGCTTAGGGGTCCTTAAAGGGATCTATAGGGTACCTTAAAGGGGTCTATAGGGTTCCTTAAAGGGATCTATAGGGTTTAGGATTTACGGCTTGCTTGAAGGATCATGGGACTTAGTATGGTTTAGGGTTCCCTTTTAGGGGTACTATGGGGTTCTATAATGGGGCTCCTTATAAGGATCTCTATAGTTCTATAATGGGAGGGTCATGGGACTTAGCAAGTATGGTCCTGAGTACCTTAGTTGGGGTTGTAAGTACAGTTACCTGAATAACAATATCCGTAATTAATTGCTAAGTCCCACGATCCTCCAAGTGCAGCAGGAGCGCGCCGGCAGCGTCTTAGACCTCATGGACTCCATCCTTCGAGGTTTCTTTTGGGCTACAAAACGGGCTTTCAAGAAGAGCTTTGGTTCAGGGTTTGGGGGTGTAGGGGTTGAGGGTTTAGGGTTCTGGGGTTTACTATGGCTACTATATGTTCTACCTAAAGCCCGAAGTCCGAAATCGTAGCTACGGGCTGCAGGGGCAGGCAAATCATTTTGACCCAAGGCGCGGACGGCTCAGATCCGAAGCTACCAACGGAAAGCCACCCCCAGAGAGCCCAATACCCATTAATTAAGGAATATGGCTTAAATCTCAATATGAAGCCCAATATAATTTAAGCCATATTCCTTAATTAAGGGGTATTGGGCTCTCTGGGCCCGGACCTTCCAAAGTTTCTTGATTGAGGCATACGCCTGAATTTCATATTCAGGATCCTCTTATACTATAAGGTATTCCTTAGTTGAAGGATTTTGGAAGGTCGTGGCAGAGCACGGACTTGTACTACCAAACTATCATGACCTAGTCTTCTGTAGCTTCTGATTGTAAACTCTTTCGCAGAGTCTATGGGCACCCTACGAAAAAGTAGGTTTTGGTAGTTCGAGGTTGGTCCTCAAGTTCACCGAAGCTCCACATAGACCTCTAAGGGTTTAGTAATGGTTTAGGGGTTTAGAGTTTAGGATTGAGGGTTCCTGAAAGTTTAGGGTTTAGGGTGAGTTTGGGGCTTGGGGCTTATGGCTTGCAGCAAAAGATTTTGAGGTTCAGGGCCGAACCCGGGGGGCCTTGGGAAGGGTTTCTACCCTAAGGCTCGTAAGAGGGTCATGGGCTTTCTGGGAGAGGGTTTGGGTTTTCGGGGCTAAGGTTTGGGATCTCACTACGAGGGTCCAGGAGCATCAGGGTAGGAGAAGGAAAAGACGATTCCTGGCTTAGTGGGTTTGGGCTTAGTTTTATTGAATGGGCGAGACTGTAGCGCATTCGCTTAGGCCCTAGAAGTACCTTGTTTAGATGACCTGTTTTGTTTGGCATCTTGTAGTTCGAAGTGTGTACGACGTATCCTGCTTCCATGCAGTGTAGTCATGGAGCAAGGTAACCAACAAAAAGTGCTCCATTGAGCAGGCTAGGTAGTCTTCGGCAGGGCCTCCAGGAATTAGGGTTTAGGGGTTCCTGCGGATTCTCGTCTTTGAAATAGCTTCACAAGGACCCTTAGGGGGGTAGGGGGTTAGGGGGGTAGGGGGCCTTAATACCCATAATAAGGCTCATTTAAGGAAGCATCGGCCCCTACCCCCCTCCATATGATAGCTGGAGGTGAGAAGACTCCTTGGGACATTCCCCTGATTCGTGTGGCTGCCAAGAAAGGCGCGTACTGGTCGCGGTCCCAGGTAGACTGTAGCGGCCCGAGATTCTCGTAAGAACATCCCTTAAGGTCCATGTAGTGAGTCTCATGCAGATGGGAGTAATTTACCGTTTTCAGCATCATGAGCTACACATGTCCGCCCTTTTGAGCTTCCAGCAATATTGCCTTCATCACTGGTATACTTTTTTCAGTTATCAGCACTATCATCATGACTTCTATGTCTATGCAGGTTGGGAACTCTGCGTATGTGGTATACATTCTCACTCGTGTTGTCAATCTTAGTGTTAGACCTTACGCAACTCCAAAAGGCATCGCCCTTGCGCTGTCTTAGGAAATCTGCGCCACCGAAATCAAATCCGAAATGCTGACATTCCCGCATCATTTTTTCACGACTCCCGCAATCCAAAATGCGAAGCCTGAATAGTAGTCCTCGGAGAGCCAGTAACCACTTTGGTTTTGCTACTATCCTAAGGGTCCAAGAACCTAATAATCATATGTTCTCCCAAATAGTAGTCTGCATAATAAGTGCTATCCTAGACCCATGTACCTAATCACTGGGTCCTTTGGACTCGCAGGTATGATGATAATATGCTATGTCCCCACACCTTCTTCCGAGTTCTGCGGCCCTTCAAACCCCATAAATCCTTAGAGCCTAGACCCATGTACCTAATCACTGGGTCCTTTGGACTCGCAGGTATGATGATAATATAGTATGTCCCCACACCTTATTCCGAGTTCTGCGGCCCTTCAAACCCCATAAATCCTTAGAGAATCCTAAGCGGACCCTAAACGGAACCCTAGAATTCCTTTATGGAACCCTTTCGGCTCCTCCACCAATGTTAAACCTCGCTGGAATCCTTGTGAGCTATGTTTTTGCTTTTTGTGATAGGGTTTCTCTTGGCTTAGACTTTATGGCAAGCAAAGGCGTTCTGATCATACTTATGGCTTCTCTTTGCAGGGTCCGAGGGTTTGGGGCAAGTTTAGGGCTTAGGCCCAGAAACTCTCCAAAGCGTGCTTCGCGTGGAGCGTTTAGTTTTTGGAGTAGGACACTGTTAGTTTCAGCTTAGTTTGGAATCTCCTTGGTGTTGGTGCGTTTCTTGCTCTGTTCCATTGTACGAAGCTAAGAAAGATCTCCAGGCACATAGTACTTCGTCGCCCTATTGACCGAGTATTCCGGTTCCCTACCATCAAAGAGTATCTTCATTCCCTTCTCACTTTTCCTGTGCCTTCACTTGCCTAGTATTTTGTTCTTGGGAGGTATTATACCGTAGCACTCAGTTCCCACTATTTCCCAAACTAGAGTAAGTAAACCCTAAAACCTTCGCAAACCGCAAGGTGCGTGGATAACCGCCGGCTTTTCACCTACAAGCACCTGCGGCTGGGAAAGATACCGGTCGAGGCATGTGGAAGGGCCTTGGGGTTCCAGGGCTTGAGGTTGATGGTGGAGGGTTGGGAGGGCTTAGTGTGTAGGAGTTTAGGCGGGCTTAGGTGTTTTGGATTCAGGGTTTGCAGAAGAGATGTGGTTCAGGCTTGGTGGTTGGGATTGTGGTCAGTGTGCACTGTTTTCCAGTCTCGGGAGAAGGAGAGGGATCTAGGGGACAGGGATTCCTGAACGATCGACCCCAATTCTGCCAATCTGCCAATGGTCTGGGTAGCTTTCAATCACCAGGCGAGCTTTACATATAATTCAATCTGGCAAGTTTCTCAAAGCGGCTTTCCGGGATGGACATTTCCGTATTCGTTGACTTTGCGAGGGTCTTGCATACAACATGGCCACAAATCAATTGGAAGCATGAATCGAAAAGGCCGTCGAGCCACAAACGCCGAAGCTGCAAGACTCTCTCTCCCTTAACCTTAAAGCGATTGCACCCAAGCCTCTGAAGCATCAGGTCAATCAACCAACCCACGAGAAGGAACAACTACTTAACCTGTTATCCGGTATTACAATCCCTATATATGATCCCGGTTCGGCCGGCCACCCCCCCCTCCCCCCCCAATGGTTCCTCCTCCCCCCCTGTGGTGTGGTGTGGTTGTGGGTTGCTTGCCTCTGCCTGTGGTGTGGTGTGGTGTGGTTCGGGAGTGGGTCTGCTTAGGCTGGTTACCCCACTCCCCCCTGTGGTGTGGTGTGGTTTGGGTGGGTCTGCTGCGGTGTGGCGTGGTTGTGGGTTGCTTCCCCCTCCCTGTGGTGTGGTGTGGTGTGGTGTGGTTCGGGAGTGGGTCTGCTTAGGCTGGTTACCCCACTCCCCCCTGTGGTGTGGTGTGGTTTGGGTTTCCTGCGTGGGTCTGCTTGGCGTGTGAGCCCTCGTGTGGAAAACTTGCAGAGTCACACACAGATTCGGCATGGGGAGCGTGGGGGGGGGGGGGATACCATTGGGGGGGGGGGGGGGGGTCGGTGAACCGAGAACCGGGATCATATATGGGTGGTTGTCAAAATTATGGTCTCTTTTTGGGTAACCTAAAAATTAGGTACTGTACCATATTAATTTGGGGACCATAATTTTGACAACCACCCATATATTCCCAAAGGTTAACCATTATTATTTTCTCAGGACAAGTGAGACTCTTCTCGCCAGGTTTTCAATTGGAAGGACAACCGTGAGCTGCAAACTCAGTGCGTTGGTGTGAGGTCGCGTACGATTTTGGGGATGTAAACACAAAAAGGACATAGAGCGCTACCCACATACAAATTCTGGGCTCATTTCCGGCTTGATTTGTGGTTCTGTCCGATGCTACAGGTGAGAACGGTGTAGATGCATGGATTTAGGGATTCAGGGTAGACAGGTCTTGGGCCTAGTATCCAGATCGGAAGTATTATTGTTATAATAATAATAATAATTATTATTATTAGTATTACTATTATTATTATGATTAGTAGTAGTAGTAGTAGTAGTAGTAGTAGTAGTAGTAGTAGTAGTAGTAGTAGTAGTAGTAGTAGTAGGGATCCTTCAACAAGAAACTCAGGCATCCAGATGCTATTTTTTGGGTCAAGGTGGTTGCGAGAAGCCTGAAAAACGAGAACCCTGCACCCGAAACCTTCAGCCCTGAACCCTAACCCCCAGACCCTAACCCTTAAACAAACCCTAAACCCAACGCCCTAAACCCTAAGCCCTAAACAAGAAAGCCCTTAACCATAAACCCAAAGCCCTAAACCCGAAGCCCTAAACCCTAAACCCTAAACACAAAGCCCTAAACCTAAATCCAAAGCCTTAAAGAAAGCAACGGAAGAGAAAAGCTCCCGAAGCCCAGGTTCGAGTTGAAGTACAAGAATGGCTTGCCGCTGACGCCTCGGGGGGTTCAAGTCAGTCGGAGGCCTCACAAGGTGGGATGAAGGTAGGTGCGATTAAGGATCCCTTATGTAAGGACTCTTATTTGGGAATATCCCAGCTACCTTCATCCTACCTTTTGAGGCCCCCGAGTCAGGGGGCTTAAGGTTCGGGGTGTTCCTTTAAAGGGATCTACAAGCGGCCCTTTAAAGGGATCTGTAACGGGGTCTTTTAGAGGGATCTATAGAGTTTAGGGTGTAGAGATTTAGTGGTTTAGGGTTTAGGGCTGCCTGGCAGTTAAAAGTTGAAATTAAGCACCTTTCTGGGTCGAAGTACGCCAAACCCTTCACCACACAAATCCCGAACCCTGGACCATGCAAGCTAGACATCTCCAAATCGATGTGACCCTACAGACCAAGCGCATAAACCCCAGAGCCTCAGCCGTCTGAACCCTCGTTCCGGAACTCTAAACCCTACGCCCTAAACGGTACTTAAAGGATCGTGGGACTTAGTAACTAGGGTTATAGTTAAGGTAGCTATACTTATAGTTACTTATAAGCCCAATTAGGGTACCTAAAACCATACTTACTAAGTCCCATGATCTTCGAAGTAGACCCTAAACCCCAAACCCATAGATCCCTTTAAGGAACCCTATAGATCCCTTTAAGGAGCCTTTTTAAAGGAACCCGAAATTACTAAGTCCCATGATCCTCCAAGTAGAGACCATAAATCCTAAGTTAAACCTTACAAACTAGTAGGTTATGAGCCCTTAATTCGAGGGTATAACCCTTAAAGCCATAGGTTTGTGGAGCCCCAGGTAAATCCTAAGGTGAGGCTGGTCCCAGGCTTTCGGGATTAAAGCTTTGGGCTTCGGGTTTTCGCCTTAGGGTTTTAGGGGTTTAGGGTTTAGGGGGTTTAGGTGGGTGATGGCATTGACATCAGCAAGTCGCAGTTGAGCATTCATCTGAGGAGCATCCCAGCTGTTCAAGTCTCCCTCATGTTTACATTTTCTTTTGCGCGATGCTTTGTTGATCCCAGATCTCTTCCGGTTTTCGTCGCCATGCTTTTCCCACTATGGGCTCAAGAGGGGATCCTGGATTATGTGAACAACCTGAGAGAAAACAAGCAACTCTGGAGTGCTGTGATTGCCGCTTCAGTGGCAATAGCCATTGAACACTTGGCCACAGGTGCTGGGCTTGCGAGGACCGGATCCAGGGGAGGTAACAGGCCATCAAGCTGGGCAGTCTTCGGCAAGAGTCGTGCCCAGTTCTGTGAAGTCATCTCTATGCTCGAGTTTGAGGGAACTCCGTCGGCTCCTGCAACCATGATCCAGAGTCCGCTGATTCAATCCATGATCAGCATCGGCAGTCTCATGAATGCCCTACCGACTGGCAGCAAGCCTTGAATAAGGTTCAGGAGGTTGGGTCGGTTCTGGTTGATTTTCGTGATAGGCTTGTAGATCAGCCATGCCCGCAGTTCCCCGCCCCGAGCCACTCGAGTGGCATGCTGCCTTCATCCAGCGGAGCCAGAAATGCCCCGACTGTTATTGACCTTCAGAGTCGTTTGCCTTCCCGCAATCCTGGCTTCGCCACGGTCACTTTTCCTGATGGCTCGGTGAAGATGGTCTCCACGGATAACATACACTAGTCGGGATTTAGGTTTCATCTTGCTTTGGTTCTCCTCAGAGTGCCATTAAGATTTATTTATATTAATGTTTGATAATGTCCACCCTGGAGCTGAACATCGCGGCATTCCTCTGTAGGAATGACTTTATACGTCTTGTGATCTGTATGTAACCATTGTGACGTCTTCTCTAGTCTGGCCGACCAGGGTCCAGGGAAATTCGGGGTGTCCAGGTATCAGGATTTCGAAGCCTCGGATATGTAAGCACTAAAAATTGTGGGTTCAGCGTTGGGGTTTTGGCTTCAGAAGGTCCGGGCACAGGGTTTGGTGTTCGGGCACCCTAAACCTTAAACCCTCTCAGCATAGCAGTTTGGGCTTGGAAGGCGCTTCAGTCTGTGGAATCAGAGCTTGACTGTAGGGTTTTGGGGGTTTAAGGGTTTTAGGGTTTAGGGTTTTAGGCTTTAGGGTTTAGGGTTGTCGCTTCAGGGTTTAGGGTTTAAGGTAGGCTGTAGATGTAGGGTGTTAAGGATTGGGGCCGTGGGCTGTTAGGCTTCAGGGTTTCGGGCGCTTGATGAACAAAACGGGTACTTAGGGCTTGAAAAGAGTCCAGCCGCGTGTAAGGTTTGGTGCGATCAGTTTAGGGTTTATGGTGTTTGTGTTTGAGGCCGTTGTTTTGCTTTTGGCTTGACGCAGGAAGGATCTGTTTGCGTTCTAGGATTTATGGTTGCATGTGGGCCGCATCTGACTTCTATACTAGAGGTCTGGATACTTTGTAATGGTGTCCCCTCAAATCCTCACTGTATAAGTACATCATGATTTGCTTCCAAGCCCTTTAAAGAAGTGATCAAGGGCCTTACATCGCAGTCTCCCAAAATCAGGGGTACCCCATGTTGGGATCCTTAAAATCAGGATCCTAATTTCTATTTAGGGTACTATATTCGGGTCCCCTATTTTCGGAAACCCCCATCTGAGTCAACCTCATTCATTGCAATCCTCTAGGTGCAAGGCTGCTTGCCAAGTCACCTACAGTAAAAAAGTCAGAAATGTGGAACATCCTTAGCTTCATGCCCGTAGCGCAGAGTATAGGGAATCCCGGCATGAATCATCCTAAAGCGATGTTCCAACTTTCGGGGGTTCCCTATAACTTGTCAGCGGCAGACTCAAGAGCTTTTGATCCGTAAAGCCCCTTAAAGAGAAGCTTATCCCCCGAGAACACCAACGCTTCTACATCCTCAGCCCTAAACCCGTTGGGCCTTCAACCCGAAACCCATAGAGCCCATAAAGGATCCCCTTAAAGCAGCCCTTCAAGGAATCTCCTAGACTACTTGGCGGGGCAGGGGACTTCGTAAGTAGGGTTATAGGTAGGGTTATAATTGGGGTAACTCCATCTAGGGTACTTTTAACACTACCTTCAACCATACTCACTAAGTCCCCTGCCCCTCCAAGTAAGCAAACAGACATCGCAGTTGTTCCTTTGGCTTGCGAAGGTTCCGGCAGCAGACGAGCAACGGACTCCGGATCGGCTTCTAGGTGGTTCAGTGGTACATGCTTCCTCTTCTCTTTTTGTTTGTTTACCCTAAGGCTCGTAAGAGGGTCATGGGCTTTCTGGGAGAGGCTTTGGGTTTTCGGGGCTAAGGTTTGGGATCTCACTACGAGGGTCCAGGAGCATTAGGGTACTTTCTGGGTTCACATTAGCTATTATAAGTAAGGTTGGCTAACCCTAAGTATATGTTTCTGCTGTTATTTTGTCGTTTTTTACCTTCAGGGTTACCATTACTAAGGCTAGCCCAATACCCCAAACTCTACACCCTGACCCCAAGGGTCCAAGTACTACTATCCTAACCCCAAGTACCTTCTTTTTGAGTCCTTTGGCCCCTTGGGGTGAAGCCTGTTTTTACCTTCAGGGTTCCCATGACTATGACTAACCCTAAGTCCCGAAACCCTAAACCCAAAACCTTAAGTCCAAAATCCTGAAGCCCCTAAACCCTAAACCCTCAACCCTAAACCCTACACCCAAAACCTTAAGTCCAAAATCCTGAAGTCCCTAAACCCTCCACCCTGGACCCTAAACCCTCAACCCTAAACCCTACATTCAAGATCCTGAAGCCTAGGCTTGCTTCAGCGAAGCGATCGGCCTTTCCCGAGGATGCCCCGAGCAAAGGGGTTCCCTACAGTCCGTACACACCATAACCCCCCAGAGGGTCCCAAGTAGTCCCTAAAAAGACCCTAGGGGTTCCTTTAAAGGGATCTATAAGAGGTCCTTTAAAGGGGGATCTATAGAGCTTTATAGGGTTTAGGACTTCATTATCCTATAGCTCTCAAATGTAAAGCTACATAACTACTATCCTAAATCCAGGAGCCTTAGAACACTTACCCTAAGGGTCCAAGTAGTCCCTATTAATGGTTTTTGGTGCCTAATAAGGCCCTAAAGTCCTATAATAGGGAGTACCTGGACCCTCGAGGGGCCATAAACTTTGAAAGTTTGCTTTGCGGGTTCCTTTGAGGTTTCCCCTAGACCCAGCATTGTTCTTAGGGTGATAAGGTCTGGAATTTACGTTTTAGGGTTTAGGCAACGCCTTAATTAATATTCATTGTTTTGTGAAGGTCCATGGCGCTGTAGGCTCTTGGCCTTAAAGGTGCAGTCCTGAGTCTCTAGGGCTTATATGTTCAAGGTTTTGGGGTTCAGTTTAGGGCTCTTGCGCCTCATCATAGCGACACTTAGGGGGGTAGGGGGAAGGAGGTAGGGGTTTAGGGTTTAAGGTTTCGGGTTTAGGGCTTTAGGGTTTAGGGTTTAGGGTATGTTCCCCGAAGGGTCCATGTTCCCAAATAGTATATACATGGGCCCGAGGTATCTATATAGGGACTACGCAAAGCCAAAGTGGATACTATTTTGGTGCATGGGCCCTTCGGGTTCAGCATCAGTACTGCCACGCCTGCTTGAGTCGTCTCTGCCACGCTTCGCAATCAATTTCCAGAGCAGTCTTAGTCCTGCAGCAGGGCCTTCCGTCCTGCTCTGCAGAACAGCAACGAAAGCTTGCAGGCAACGGCGAGCCCAAGACGGGTGTGCAAGCAGCTGTCGTTTCAAGCCTATCTCCCAGAGGGTCCAAGTACCCAAATAGTGGGGTTTTAGGTCCCAAAATACATACTCTGAGTGGTTTTTGGTCCTTGAAACCCTCCTATGTGGGTACTTGGACCCTCAGAGCTTAACAGATCCTTACAAAATCCCTTAAAGGAGCCCTACTATGTGGGCACTTGGACCTTGAGGGTCTAGCCACTCTTGCAAGGTGATGGAAGCTGCTAGGGCGGCGCTGGATGTTGTGGGGTTAAGGCTTCGGTGTTCTGTCTGTTCGGGTTTCTATAGAGGTTGTGCACGGCTATTTGTTTTGCGAGGTCACCTGCATCAGTCTATATCCATTGATGATAGGGGTTCAGAGGTTTATGCTCGGTATGTTAGTCGATGTGGATTGGACCCAAAGACTCTAAGTTACTAAGCCTCAAACCCGCTAGTCAACACTAAACCTTTACCCTGGTTCATAGGGCTTTGGGTTTCGGGCTTGGGGTTTAGGATTAAGAGCTTAGCATTTAGGAGTTCGGGCTTAGGGTTTAGGTTTCAGGGCGTTTGGTGGATCTGGACTGCAGGGGTCCAGGCCTTAAGACAGACAGGCTTGACTATAAGCCTTGTTACGCTATCGATCTCTTTCCATGGATATCGACCACATTTGTTTGTTTTGCTAGCCTTCCCTCAGAGTCCAGGTGCCCCTATGGGTAGTTGTCCAAATTCGGGTCCCTTTTTGGGTACCTAAATATAAGGTGCCTTGAAATAATGACCCAAAAAGGGACCCTAATTTTGACAACGACCCATATAGTATGTACTTTGGCCCTAAGGTATCTTTATAGAGACTTTGTTGCGGCCTAGCGATCCGATAATCAGAAATGCCTAAGCCCTAAACCCCTTAAACCCTAGACCGAAAACCCTAAGTTTAAGCCCTAAACCCCTAAACCTCCAAACCCCCTATAGCAGAAGACAGAAAGTTGGAACATGGCTTTAGGAGGAATAGTGCTAGGATCCCTTATACTCTACCTTAAGGGCATGAGGATAATGATGTTCCAACTTTCTGGCTTCTGCTATAAACCCCTAAAGCCCTAAACCCTGAACCCTTAAACCCCATAAACCCGACTCTAGCATCCTTGTGGCATCCGTGGAGGAGCCCAGTGGCTGAACCCACTCTGTCAAAGCTCACTAAGCCTGCTCCTAAGATTTGGAAAAGGCTGAGGGTTAAGAGCTTCTCTAAAGTGTCCAAGTACCCAAACAGTAGGGTTTCAAGGTCCAGAAGCCATTCAGAGTATGGATTTTGTGACCTAAAAACCCCACTATTTGGGTACTTGGACCCTCTGGGCTTGGGGTTTAGGGCCGTTTGGGGTTTAGGCATTCCTGGGTCAGTTTTGGCGAGAGTGTTGGTGCTGCATACCTAGCGTCGCTGATTGACTATGACAGTACGCTAATCGAGGTTCAGATCGGACTAGATCAGGCAATCAGGCGATGGGGACAGAGTGGCAGAAGTCAACGCTGTCATCCTTTGTAATTAAGGCAGGCCACGTATGCATACCCACTAGGTGGGTATTGACAGAGAAGAATGGGCACTTCAAGGGCACGCCGGAGTGCGTCCCCAAGCGGAAGCCGCGTCTTGTTGCGTGTGCGAAAGTGCAGAGGAAGACATACACGCCGACTCACCTACTGCGGACCCCGGCTTTCGGGCTCGGTTCGCTCTTTCTGGTTTAGCTTGGTTTTGTTTGGGGCGACCCTCAACCCTAAACCCAAAACCTTGAATTTTGGCTTTAGGGCTTGGGACGTCCCATGCACCCGAAGCACGGAATTTACTGAAATGCTGCCGGTATCTGAGGCTTGACTACGAGTTTAGTCTGCAGGGATGACATGATTTAGGGCTGCCACAATGTGCTCTTCCGACAAAGGCTGCATGCTTTACAAACTGATGTTGTCGAGGCAGTGGCCGTTACAACATGGGAAATCATGGACTAAGCAAGTGGCGAGCGGCTTTTCTTCCAAGCCCTTACAAGTTCGACTCCCAACGGATTTTGCAGTGTCAACCTGAACCTTAAACCCTGACAGTGAGCAGGACGCTCCAGTTGTGTTATGTTTAGTACTTGCTCGAAGCCCGCATCGCTTCTGTAGATCTTCAAGGGCGTTGAAGGCAGTAAGTTGAGCCATAAACTTGACACGGTTTCTGCGCGAACCCCAAGCTCGAGACCAAAAACCTGAACCACTAAACCCCAATGCTATGTGGGGCGACAGTTTTGCTACAATTACCTGTGGTTTGGACCTGCAGGCACGCCCCAAACTCTAAACGCATAGTTCTCCACCCGAAGCCCTGCATGGGAAATGTGAACCCATGAGGCTTTTCAGTGCGGCACAACAGCGGAAGCATGAGGCACATCGGTATGCGTCCAAAAGAAGAAAGCAAGGTAAATAGGCGGAGGAGCTGTATGGGCCGGGTCGATTTAGTCTTAGATCATTTGCGGGCGGAGGGGGGACGGGTAACGGCACCCGAATTGTTGTTGTTCTACTTGTACCCCGGCTGCTTATACCCCGTCTCACGGGTTTCGGGGTCTCGGGTTTAGAGTTTAGGGCTTCGTGGCTGAACGCTGCATATAGACTCCATTGTAGTTCCTTTTTAGGGGTGTAACTCGAGTTCGGACCCTATAATGCAAGACAACGGAGACCCCCCAACTGTCCTCTAATATACCCTAAATACGGTGTCCTGGTATTCACTAGACCCTAAGCGTCCCTAAACCCTAAACCGTAAGGTCCCGCAAGGTGGACCAACAAGGGAACCACAATGGTACATTTTTTACTTTCAGGTGTCTGGGTTCCTATTGTAAAATATAAAATAACAAGCCTAAAAAAAGTGCATACTTTTTCCCAGTGGGTTACTGAACAGCCTAGCCAACAAGGGAACTACGGAGACGGCAGGTAGACATGTCGACCTCCGGCCCCTACACACGAGAATCTGAACATATCTTAGCCAGAAGCGGTGTATACCTACCAGAACCCCCAAAGGGCGCTTTTATAGAGTCCTTATGGCCCTTCATAGTGGGTATTTACGGTAAACTAGAGGAAAGTTTTTTTTTGGGGGGGGGGTCTAGGTGGTGTTTAGGGTTTACGGGTTTAGGGTTCGGGGCTTGAGGGATTTCAGGTTTTCAGAACTCTCAGGTTGTGTGGGGCTTACCTTTATCCGCAACTATGAACCCCTTCATCATAGGGTAAGGTTCGTATAGCATCGCTAACAGGCCGACATCGTGGCGCTGGCGAAGAGGCGCGCCCAGGCCGGATACTCTCAAAAATGAGTTATACAAGATATTGCCATAGAGGTTTCACGTAATATTATGTAGGAGTTCGCTTACATCCCTTATCGGAAGACTAAGCCGTAAGTATACCATAACGCAGGGCACACAAACAGGTAGTTGGGTACCCTGTCGCACTGCACCAGCCCTAAAACCAGAATCCCATCACCTGCCTCGGCGCCGGAAACCTCATACAAACACCTACACCTACACCTACATGGACACCCAAAGCTCGAGAATTTCAGCCCACACTCTCGGCTACGCATGGCGCACGATTGGTCGAACTGACATAAAAAAAACAAAGAAGGCCGACATCATCCTGCAAAACGAAAACAACGAAATCGAAGATCCGCCAGCGGCCCTGAACCCCTCAACCCTTCACCCCTAATCCCTAATTTAGCCTAAACCCCAAACCCCAAGTCCCAAACCCCTAAACCCCAAATCCCAAACCCCTAAACCAAAAAAACCTAAACCCCTAAAGCCCAAACCCTGGCGTCGTCAGGAAGCACAGGATGAGGCCGGTGAAGCCTCTGGCGTGGCACCGGGCTTAGTGGGCTCAGGGGCTTCAAGCTTAAGGTTTAGGGTTCCTAGGGTTCCTTTAAAGGCGTCTATAAGGGTTTAAGGTTTAGGGGTTTAGGGTTTAAGGTTTGGGGCTTAGCTTAGGGTTTTGGGTTCCGGGTCTAGGGCCAGGGTTCAGGGGTTGTTTGAGTTTGGTCTTTCGGCAGTCGGGGGTAGGAATTCGGGCTTAGGTTCTGGCACTAATAGGATGATCAGTTGGGGTCGTGCGTGAAATCGATTGTGAAGGAGGCTGTCTAAAACTCGACCCTGGCTTCCACGCACACCTTAAGCTTCACCTCCAAAAACTGAAGATTCTTTGTGTTTCCAAAAAATGACTTTCAAGAGTTCTACTATGTCTGCATTGCTTCGAGGTTCGCGGTTGAAGGTTTAGAGCACCGGTTTGGCTGAGGGTCTAGACTGAAGGAGAAATCCCCCAAGGGTCCAAAAGAGAGGCTGCGCCACTGTTTGTCTGGTGCCGGTGCACCTCTGGCACGTTCCTTACAGCTCTAAGTTTCTGTCTAATTAACCCTAAGGGTCCAAAGGACTTCATAATTAGGTATTGGGGTTTAGGATAGTAGTTATGTAGGCTACTATTTGGAAGAGTATATGATTATTAGGTCCTTGGACCCTTAGGGTAAGGGTTGTCCGTCATCTCTACAAAACAATGTAGACTACTTGGAGGATCATGGGACTTAGTAAGTATGGTTATAGGTACCCTAATTGGGGTTATGAGTAATTATATGTATAGTTACCTTCATAATAGCCCTAGGTACTAAGTCCCATGATCCTCCAAGTATAGCAGAAAGGAGCCAGAAGAAGTTCGGGCTCCTTCGCATGCACAGTAGTGCAAACAAAGCCCCCACAATAAATGGTCTGATTATCAGAGTCTGATTGTTAACTATTATATAACCTTGTTCTGCATATCAAGGCCCTTACAAACCCTAAACTCTAAACCCTAAACCCTAGGGTAAGAAGTGCTGTCCATTCCTGTGCTTTCATTCTGCACTGCCTGAGGCGACTTCCTTGGAGGACGGCCACAGTGGGCAAGACGGCTTTCGGGTGTAGGGTTCCGCAGTTAGGGTTTCGGGTGAAATAGGGTTCTAGAGGTTTGGGCTTTAGGATACCAAGGCTTTTGGGTTCTATTCTAAGGGTGAAGGGTTGTGTCAGGCTTGCAGGGATGTGCAGGGGGTCTGGCTGGATGTTTCCGCGACCACCGTGTAGGTGCAAGGGTTCCCAAAGCAGCAGGAACGTGTAGGCTTTCTGCCTTTGCCATTAGGGGTTCAGCTTGAGAGGCTTGTTGCGACTCCCCTTGCAGATTTGCAACCCGAAAGCCCTGAAGCCTAAACCCTAGACCTCGCAACCCGAAAGCGCTAAGCCTAACCCTAATCCCTGAAGCCAAACACCTAATCTAGGATCCTGATCAAGAGCCCTGGGCCTATAACACCAAAATCGTAGGATTCATGCAAGGAACACGAATATGCGCCCAAGGTTTCTTAACCAGGTTCCTACATGAGGTTCGATGCTGCTTCGTTGTCCCTTTCAGGACGTGCTCCAGGGCACCAAGGAAGGCGAAGTCGAGGACCGGCCCGGGACGCGGAGTTTAATTGCGGGCCCAGGGATTCTTTGAGGGCTCCTTTTGGGTTCAGTAGTGGCCCAGGGATTCTTTAAGGGTTCCTTTCAGGTTCAGTGGTGGTTTGGGGATTCCTGAAGGGTTCCTGCAAGGTTCAGTAGTGGTTTGGGGATTCTTTAAGGGTTCCTTTAAAGTTCGGTACTGGTTTAAGGGGGGGTAGGGCTTCATGGCTTTCTTTTTAGGGCTTTAGGCTGTAGGGTTGTACGAAGTAACACCTTAGGCAGAGGCTCCTGTTGATTCCACGAATCCTTAACCCCACGAAAATAACAGCATAATAACAGCATAAGCGAACAGTTCTGATTTCATAGTCACAAGAGTTTTTATATAGACACATAAGCCCTCAGTAACCACCTCCCCAAACCACCCTACACTCCACACCTTTCAAACCAATCTAAATGGTTACCAATACTATTTGGGTTTTTTCTAGAATTACAGTATACTGGGCCCCACAACCCTGTTCTAATTGCTAAGGCCCCTACATTATAGGGAAACTAAACCTTAAACCTTAAACCCTAGACCAAACATGACTGCAAATTCTGACAGACACGGCGAGCCTCTAATTGCAAGTCCTTCGGGAAGGAAGCGCCAAAGAAGCGAAAGAAGAAGACGGGGAAGGCGAGGCCTAAGCCTTTATTAGTCCGGGCCCCTAAAAAACCCTAAACTCTAAACGGCTTACCCTGAGCCTTAAGACCCACACCGCAATCCCGCAGGCTTGGTACCCCGACCCCAAAAATCCCTTACCGAAAACTCGCACTCTGAGCCTTGCAGACCCACTGGGGAAGTGGAACTTCTCAGGTGTAGTTTAGAAGCTGCCCCCACCCTGTAATAGTGGTATAATAGGAATATAATATGAATATAATAGGGCCCTAGTATATTCCTTATAGTCACTGGGCAGCTTCTCAGGTGTAGTGGAGGAGGCTTCGACACAGGTTTCAACCCGATTGCTTCGAATCGAAATCCTGAACAGGAGGTCTTCTGGAAACTCCCAAGTACGGTTAGGGTTTAGGGTTTAGGGTATAGGGCTGAGTACTGGGACCTGTACCTATTTGACTGGGCCTGCCGCCTCGGTGGTGAGCATGAAAATCCAGATGATGACAAGCATTACCCTACCCTACGGGTCCAAAGGACCCAGAAATTAGGTACTCGGTTTTGGGATAGCTAAACAGCAAGTCCAAATGGTCCAAAGGACCCAGTAATCAGGTACTCGGTTCTAGGAGAGTAGTTATGTAGGTCAGGTTTTTGGGGAGTATATGATTATTGGGTACTTGGACCCTTGCGGGTAGCCTACATCAAGGTCAGACCCGTGGTCAACACGACGGTCATTTTCGAAGGTTATCCTATGACCATGGTCATGTAATGGTAAAGCAGATTAAGATGGAGACAGTGATAATTCTGTTTGTGTTGACGAAAGCCATGGTCTTGAGAGAGTATGATGAAAGTCATTGTGTTCGCCCTCGGGCGTTCACGAGGGCGTTCGACATGGTGCAGGTTGTTTTCGCCGATAAACCTTTTGCTTCCTGTAGGATCAGCTGATGTATCTATATGTGGCTTCGTCTTCCCGCGTAGTGGCCGGTGTTGGACAGGCTTTCTCTGGGTTATGATCCAGTCTGAACTCTTTCGAATATCAGTCAGCTCTGAGTCAGCATGTGTGAACATGTATTTACGGTGCAAACTGCACGAGCATAGAGTGTGCATACATATATATATATATATATGTATGCATACATGCATAAACACATATGTAGATATGCATGTATGTGTATATCTATACGTATATATATATATATATATATATGGTTTGCACATCATATATTTACGTGCATACATACATACGTACATACATACATACACACACATATACATGCAGATATGCATATATGTACACGCATACCTACATACATATATACTTACTCTCTTACTCACTTACTTACTTGCTTATTTACTTACTGACATAGTGGCAGACATGCATTCATACATACGCACATACATTTGCACACACATATACTCGTACGTATAGTCATGCCGCAAATACGACAGAGTAGCAGGTTCATGGCAACGCAATGGGCACTGTCGGTTCTGGTATTGGCATCAAATGTACCGCTTCTTGTTGTGCTTAGGATACGTCTCCTTACCGGGTATCTGTCTGTGTATCCCTCTGCTATTGATATCACTGGCTGTTTACCTAGCTTTACAGTTATCTATCCATCCATCCATCTATCCATCCTTCAATCCTTCCCGCCATCCATCCGTCCAGCCATCCTTCCACCATCCATCCATCCATCCATCCATCCATCCATCCATCCAGCCAGCCAGCCAGCCAGCCAGCCAGCCAGCCAGCCAGCCATCCATCCACCATCTTTCCAATCCATCCATCCATCCTTCCATCCATCCATCCATCTCTTTATGGAACGTTTGAGGAGGCCAGTATAGCCAGTTACAGTGCCGATGTTACTTGCCATTTGCCACGCTGCACCAGTGTTGTGATGTCAAGAAACACTGAGACAGTACAAGAGCAACTGTTCCAAGCCTCCGAGTAGCCATAGATAGCGGATACCATTCTCTAATTAACCCCAGACCATTCCCAACTGCTGCACCGCCTTAAACCTAAGCCCAAACCTTCCTTAACCAGACCCTAAACCCCACACCCTCGTTTAACAGAGACCCTAAACCCTAAACCCTCCCGCAAAAGCGACTTTCAACCCCAAACCTTCCCTTAAAACGACCCTAAACCCCAAACCTTCCCTTAAAAAGCGACCCTAAACCCCAAACCTTCCCTTAAAAAGACCCTACACCCTAAACCGACCCTAAACCTCAAACCCTCCTTAAAAGGTCCCTAAACCCTAAACCCTCCTAAAACACCGTCGAGGTGTTATCCGCCAAGAAAAAGGCAAAGAAGGTCCAGAAGGGCCTGCCTGAGGCTCGAGATCTCCTTAATTCAGGAATACCTAGGGTTCCTGTAAAGGGATCTATAAGGGATCTTGTAAAGGGATCTATAAGGGATCTATAGGGTTTAGGGTTTAGGTGACTCCAATATCCCTTCAAGTCAGGAATTTACTCTAAAGCCAATGAGGGTTCCTATTGTACTACATTCCTTGATTCAGGAATATTCCTTAGATCATATAGGGGATCCTAGTGTAGTCAAAGGTATATTCCTTAATTAAAGGGATATTGGGGTCACTTAAACCCCAAACCATATAGATCCCTTATAGGTCCCTTTCAGCGAACCTTAGGTATTCCTTCATTAAGAGGTTTTGTGGGCTATTGGGGCTTACCTGGGGCGAGGCGCGCGTTCGTACTCAGCGGGATTAACGGTTGTGGGTTCTATGAGGCTCCCTTTAAATGGGCGCCATATGGGTGGTTCTCCAAATTAGGGTCCCTTTTGGTCCTATATATACTACGGCACCTATTATTTAGGGTGCCCAGAAGGGGGACCTTCATTTTGACGACCACCCATATAGGTGTTCTACCAGACCTTCCAAAATCCCTTGATGAAGGAATATGCCTTAAAATGTGATTATTAAGGTGTATTCCTTAATTAAGGGATTTTGGAAGGTCTGGGTATATGTATTATATAATATATATATATATATATATGTATATATATATATATATATAATATTATATATTATATATATTATATATATATATATATATATATAAGTCTTTGGGTTGGCCGATTGTCTCCGTTAAACCTTTCCGGACAAAGCAAAGATGTCATGCCCCCCTCCCCCCTGCCCACAAATGTAGGGGCCTTAATAATTAGAATCGGGTTTTGGAACACTTAAAACTATGATTAGAATAATCAGCCCCTAAAATAGTATGGGTGATTATGAAGGCCCCTGTGATCCGACAGGTCGGAGCGGCGTGCATCACAAAATCATGAGGACCCTTAGGGGGGGACGGGGGGAGGGGGGTAATACAGGGGGCCTGAATAATTACCTGTACTAGTTTCTGTGGGCGGCCATTGTAGTATAAAGGGTTTCAACACCGTATTCTAATTATTATGGCCCCTATAGTAGGGGCGAGGCGGGTAGGGGGCCTGAATACCAACTTCGCAAGCATCAGGCCAGCTGTGGTGGCGAGAAGCTCACTGTAACGATGGAGAAGGAGGACGATATGAAGTGGCACAGTGCTGCTGAAACAGTCCTCGACCCTCAGCCCCAAGCGCTAAACTAGGACCCAGAGTAGGCCCGTATTCCTTTTTTAGGGTTCAGGTTCCCGTATAACCACCCCTTAAAACCAAAAATGGTACCCTTTTTATTCCTAGGCTACTCTGAGGTCTAGTAAATCCTACAACTCCTGAACCCTCCACGCAAAATCATCAGCCTGAATGCCTATGGGCCCTACAGAACTGCTACAAGACCCCAATAGAACCCATATGAAACCTTGCACCTTCACAAAAGGCAGGCTGTGGCAGATGAGGTAAACGTCTTCGGGCTTTGGGGTTTCGGAAACATTGCTTGGGGTGATGGGATTAGGGTAAAGTTTAGGATTCAGGATTAAGCCTGATTTCGTGTGTGCGTGGAGCCTGCGAACCATGCAAAACACGACAATATCACCGAAAATCAGAGTGAGTGTAACCGCTGCCCTTCTAACATCATGGTAGAGTCTAACTCTCAAAAGCTGTTCAGACAGGCTATGCAGTATGGCACCCACAGGTATCGTTTAATATAGGGGCTTTCATGATGAGAATATGGTCTCGGGGCCCATTATACTAAAATTATAATAAGGAGCCCCCCCCAAATAGTACAGATAATCATTTAGCCCCCTATATTACGGCAGGTTAGTATTCAGGCGAGCAATGTCATGATTGCTAGGAGTTTGGTCTCTTGTGCTATGCCATTTATGCTACAAGCGGCTATGAATTTCTGAAGGTGTGGTGAGATTTCTCACACAAGTCATTCTCTGCCAGATGCCCTCGGCTGAAGAAGCTTCTGGACTTTTTGCACGAGCTGCCTGCACGAAAACGCGGCAGGATGTTGCCGTGTCGACGTAGACGCTCCAGCCCACCCAGCAAGCTATCCATAAGGCTCCATGTACCGATATAGTATACGGTATATACTTCGGCTTTACAGTAATTACCTATATAGGAACCCCTTTAAATATAGCTATAGGGCTTACTGATATATACTATACAGGTACATGGAGCCGAGGCGGACGATGCGGTCACAGGAAAAGTCGGAGAGTGGATGGAAGCAGGTCGGGGTTGTAACTTCCCCAAAGGGTCCAAAGTACCTATACAGTAGAATATAGGGTTTCTATATTAGGCATGACTATTTATGATTAAGGGAAGTATCCCCCATAACAGTACCTAGGACCCTTTGGGTTCGAGTGTGCAAAGAGACCTCAAGTCTCAGATGAATGATCGCTGGGAAGTGACGTTCAAAACTTCCTAAAGCCACCCGACCCACCTGCCACGACATGGCACTTGAGATAATCGTCATGTTAATGCAGGGGTGTCATTGCATAATGATCGCCATCTCCTTTCCTATCATGCTACCTCACATACCATCCGGTATGAGCTGTCACACCATATATCACACTGACGCCATGGATGCTGCACCCAAGCCGCGAATTAATCCTAATCCCTGAGCGCTCATCCTTGACCAGAAAAAGAGCATCTGAGCAAGTTAAGCTCCGTTAACCCATTTCCTGCTAGGCTCAGAACAGCCCGAAACTAGTTCCAGCGTCCTTGCGTCGAGAAGCCCCAATATGGCGTGCCCCAGGGGCCTTAACTATAGCTCCAAGGCTTCATGTGCCTACTTGTATATCTTTAGTAATTATATGTAGTATACCTAGGCCTTAAAGTACCTATATGGGAACCCCGTCAAGGCCTAAGTATATACGATCTACATGCATGGAACACTTATGGTAGTGTTCCTTCACGTTCCGGAGGATTCGGACGATGAGGAGTTCGATGTCGAGATCACAGCGCCTGGGTGATGCCGGGCGGCGCCAAGAGGAGGCTCAGCGATTGAACGTATGAGAGTTTAATATGAAGGATCAAGCGTAACATCGGATGTATCGAACCCTAAACCTGAAAATCTGTATGCCCTCAACCCTGGGCCTCGAACCCTAAACCCTTCATTGGTTGTATGATCCTTCAACCCTTAACCTTACCAAACTGCCTCCGCCGAACCTGGCCTTCAACCTAAGGATGATTGGCAGGGAGAAAGGAGGCGATAAACGACCCTGGCCCCGTCGTGGCCGCTTTCAACCTGAACGTACTTTCAATCCAACAAGCCCAAATAGGACTCCTGCAAGGGTTCCTTTCAGGGGGCTTCTTTAAGGGATACTGTAAGGGTGCCATAAGGGTTTGGGGATATTTAGGGTATATAAGGGTCCATGTACCCAAAGAGTATACACTTTGGCCTTAAAGTACCCCCCAGAATAGGTACATTGGGCCCGACATTGGGCCCAAAGTATATATACTGTTTGGGTCTTTGGACCCTTCTAGACAAGCTCTCGAATGGCCCCCGACTTTACGCCTCCACGCTGCTGGAATTGCAATGTCACCATGAGTCACCAGCCGCACTCACACGCTGCATGCGAGGAGTTCAGACAACATACTCTGACAACGGCCATTCATCAGTTATGTTGCGCTGTGAACTATAATTAACTATATAAATCGTAGATTCCGTAGGTGTAGCTTGACCATGCTCCTGCAAGCCCTACAGGTCCATGTGGCCCGTACAGTATGTACTATATACTTTGACCCCAAAGTAAGCCATATAGGAGTACATAATATCTGGGCCATATTTGGGCACATGGACCCTTAGTGAAGTTTTAAAGGTGCGCGGCACCCTCTTCATGATTGCGGAGCACCAGGTGTCGCGGAGCAGCCTCCAGGCAGTGGGGTTCGGATTTTAAGCGGGTCTTTGTAATGAATCTCAGCTCTAAACCTCATAATGTAACCAAAAACCCTCAAATCTGCAATCAACGATAAACCTTAAATGTAGTCAAACTCATTCGCGACCCTGCAAACAACCCTAAATGCTGTAGTTAATAAGCCCTAAACCCTAAACCCTATGATACTCCCTGCACGTAAGCCCTGAATGGAACCCATTACAGGAGGTTTCTAAAGGAGCCCAATAAAAGAACCTCGGAAGAGCACCTAAAGGAACCCTTAAAGGAGCGCCGAAAAGAAATCCCCCCAAACGGAACCCCATGCTTGCCTTCGGGCATGCTTCCATCTTCGTGAGCACGCACGATCCCTGCACCCTTAGGGTTTAGGATTGGGGTTTAGGATGTGGGCTCGGGGTTTAGGTTGGGGGTTTGAGGTTTCGGGACTAGTGTTTCATTTTAGGTTTGAGGTTGATGATTTGGGGTGAGCGCTTCGAGTTTGTGTTTGGGGTTAAGCGTTTACGTATAGCGTTTAATTTAAATTTGGCGTTGTAGGGATTAAGGACTTGAGTTTTAATTTATGGCTTATGGATGCTTAGGCTGTAGGGATTAGGGATCGGGGCTTTAAGTATTAATGTAGGGGTCAGGGAATATTTAGTCTTTAGCGTCACCCTTCCGGGTTTACACCTGGTTTTCAGGAAAGTAGACCCTGAGTAGCCCTGATTAGAAAGCCCCTCTCTGATTCGAATCGGGACCCCAAATAGAAGGGCCTTCACAGAAACCTGGCTTATCAATCAGCGGCTACGGTAGAGTAGCCCAAACACCCTAAATAACCAAATCCCTAACTTTTGAACCCCTACCTTAACCCCAAACAACCTACCTTTGTAAGGGCTCGAAAAGGGAAATCATAACAAGGAACCCTATAAATCTGGGTTCCTTAGCGTCCAGGTAAGCCCTAAACCAGACTAGCCCAGAATCCCTGCAATGAGCCTGGCCGAAGTCAGTGTGGCTCCCAGACTGACCATTGATGAGAGCAAAGGGGTCGAATATGCCCGTGTGTTTCGACGTTATCTCTGAATTTACAACCCTGTGACGGCTTTTCATGAAGCTCCCTTATACGTCCTCCACCCCTAACATTCATCACCCGAAACATCAACACCGAAATCCCAGACCCCTAAACTCCAGATCCCAAACCTTGGACCCTCAACCCAAGAACCTTCAAGCATTCTGTAAGCATTTGAACTCACAAGCCCATTTCCTGCAACCCCAAGCTCACGAGTCCACAAGCCAAAGCCACATGTTAAAACTTGTAATTCTGAATCCCCAAACCCCACATCCTAAGTCGTCGATAAAGTCCGTACACACTTGAACCGGTGTCTCCAAAACCTATTACTTGCTATTAAAGCTACTGTAGTTAGGGTTTAGGGTTTAAGGGTTTGGGTATTGGTTTAGGCGGTTTAGGGTTATCTACTACAGAGCAACATGAGGGTACTGTAAGGTTGCGGAAAGGTACGACCAGACAAGAGTTATAGCCAAGCTCACGCAACCGACATGGAGAAAGCTGCGGAGCTGCGAAGTCTCAGGCAGGTGTTGTAACCAGCTTGTAAGTACAGCTGTCAGTATACGGGGTTTATGGTTACCCCAGATAGCGGATTCTAGAGCCCAGAGACCTGCCTCAGCCCAAATAGCCTACTTGTTCAAGGATTCCTAAAGAGAAATCAGAACGATGAACCCGAAAAAGGAAGGATAGGTGCAGGTGCTTTCTGCAGCCTCATTCCGAACTCCCCAAGTCCTGAACCCTCAGAAACGAATTCCTATACCCTGAACTCTACAAACCCTAGACCCCCCTAAACCCGAAACCCCAGACCGTCTGAGGCTATTGGGTTTCCAACTGTTGGGCTTATACTGTAAGGGTCTTAGCCTTCCCCGAGCCTCCATTCAACGGGGAAAAGGAGGGACCCTGAATGGGGACCCCTACCCTAAAATGGGCTATATAATGGGTATATAATAGCTATATGAAGAGTGTATACCCAAGGGTCCTTATTAAGGATCCCTCCTTTTACCCTTGGATCCATGCTAAGGCTGCTAAGGCTTCTTTTTTGCAGATGTTCCGGCCCGCAGCTGCTCTGAGCAGACAAGAAGCTGAGTAGTAACCCTCAGAATCCTTACTGTTGATGGACAAAATCCTGCATGACCCTAAGGACTCTAAACTATGGGAACTACAGTATGGTATATTCCTTATAATGGATTATGCAGGATTTTGTCCATCAGCAGTATAAGTACCCGTATACTGCCCATATAGTAGAATCTTTTTGCAGTCTCTGGATCCGAGTGCATGTATGTGGCCCTAAACCCCTAAACCGAAACCCTGATGCCTAGACTGCAACAGGACTGCCGCCGGCACGGATGTCCTGTTCGACCCACCCCTGCATGTGGATGACTCCTTAGACGAGCCTTGCTGAGGAAGGGTAAACATTGGGTGAAGGCTTCGAGGTGAGGTTTCCGAGGACCGGGTGGGAACCGTAAACCTGAACCGTAAACACGAGAGAGCTGCGTGCTAACGACTACGAATACTAAGGCATTTCCTGGGCGAAGCCCGTTTCGCAATCTGCTTCTGTTCTCCTTACCTCTCCCCGTGATCTGTTCTTCATCCCGGGCCATCAGTGTTCGATGGTGTTTGATAAAGACTTCGGTTATGGCTTTACTATCTCTCCGTTTATATATATATATATATATATATATAGAGAAAACATATTACATATGTGGGGTATAGGCTGTACTCTTGGCTGCGGTATCCAGGCTCTTGGTTACTATTCTTACTGTTCTATATATTATTGTTCATTATTACTGCAGGATGCATCAGTGCAACAGGGAACCATCAAAACTGAATGCATAGTAGCAAACGTAGACTACCCTGGGTACCTTGCTACTGAAGGGTCTATTCGTGGTACAGTCCCCTGAGGTGTCGTTTCAAAGCTTAGGGTTCGGGGTTTGTAAAGTAGGGTGCAATATTGGACTCTGCGCAGCCCGCAGGAACATCCCCGTTCCCCTGTACGCCGAAGCTATACCCATAGTCTCCATTGTAGTTCCTTTTTTGGATTACGGTACGGCCAAAGTATATACTATTTGGATACATGGACCCTGAGGGTCACATTGTCATTGTCGGCTGTTGATTGAAAAACTACCTGGTAAAGTCTTTCTGTTTCTGCTGAGGATCTGAAACGCCGCGCGGCAGCCGCTCTGAATGTGGGTGGCTTGAACCCCGAATTGCTCTGAAACCCTCAACCCCGAATCCCTTACCTCCCAAATGTCTAGGGGTTAGCAGAACAGTGGGCTTTAATCTTGCAAGGCTCCTCAAGCCCCAAAGGTCATATAGGGGCGTTAACAATCGTTAATATTTAGGATAGGGTTCCTTGTAATGGTTCCGTGTTTCAATGCATCGTTAATGGATGTCTAAGGGTTCTAGATTATTAGGGGCTTTTCTATGAGAATAGGGTTTTTATCAGGGTAAATTATACTATAATTGTAATAAGGAGCCCCCACAAGAATAGTATAGGTAATTATTCAAGCCCTTACAATAGCTCACTAGAACTTGTGGGGTTTGGCGATTTAAGGTGCTGGATTTCGGGTGAGGGGGTTTAGGGTTGAGGGGATACGGGATTGCAGGGGAGAGGTTTAGTAAGGGTTTAGGTCATTTCCTTCAAGGGCATTCATGAGGCTTCAAAAAAAGGTTCGGTTCCGGGTTCCTCGCAAGTTACTTACAAAGCCAATGGGGGAACTTTAAGCTTTCTGGCTGTTCATTTTGAGCCTATCTCAGAAAGTAGAGTTTTGTGTGTGCCCGGTGGTTTTCAGGTTGTGCTAATGCTCAACTACCAGGAATCATGCAAGAGTCCTAAAACGGCCTATAGGGTGTAGGGCTTCGGGCTAAGAGTTTAGAGGTTCAGTCTGGATCTAGGGTTCAGAGATCCATTCAGGGTTTAGGGTTTAGGGGTTGGAGACTCGGTCAGGGTTTGGGGTTCAGGGCCCCAGGGTTTGCGGGTTCTATTTCTCACACTCCAAGCCCTTGCAATTTATGTATGTCAACTAGGCACCAAGAAGCCAGCATGATAAGGCTTTGAGGTTGAGGACCTCATCACATAACGGCATGCACGCTGCATGCTGATGCTTATGGCGCATCAACGTTAATTGATGCAGCAACTGATGCACTCGCAGAGACATACATACATTACATCACGTTGCCTGACATACCTACCGGTACTTCACTACCTGCCCTAAACCCTAAACCCGAAACCGTGGCTTACACATAGGTGGTTGTCAAAATTATGGTCCCTTTTGGGTCCCTGTTATAATACGGCACCTATTATTTTAGGGTACCCCCAAAAAGGGACCCTAATTTCGACAACTACCCACATACAGACTTACCTGGACCCTCTCGGGAGCCTCAACCCCTGAACCTGGAAACACTAACTAGGATGCCCAGTAGTACCCTTATTCCCTTTTGTAGTCCTAGGTTCCTTATAAAGTTACCCAATACCAAAAAGAGAGGCCTTTTTGTTCTTAGGTTACTGGGTATCCTAGAAACATGCCGGCTTGAGCTATTGGAAACGATGTTGCTCGGGATCCCTGGCCTAGAGGTTCCATACTGGTAGTATTGAGGAGCCCCTGGCTGGTATACTAATCACAGTATATACCCCCAAAGGGTCCTTGGTACTGTCATGGGGGATACTGCCCTACGTCATAATAGTAATTCCTAATAATATGGAGACCCTACATTCTACTATCTCGGTATATAGGACCCTTTGGGACCATGTACCCGGAAATCCTAATCTAAGAGTTCCAGGCTATCGCCAAGTTACGATCCTCTCCGGGGAGCGCTGTTTGGAAGGCCCGCACGACATCGACAAAGGAGGGTTTAGGGCTTCGGGCTTTCATGGTTGAGGCTTTATAGTAGAAGCCAGAAAGTTGGAACATGGGTTTAGGAGGATTAGTGCTAGGATCCCCTATACTTTACCTTTCGAGGCACGGGGATAGTGATGTTCCAACTTTCTGGCTTCTACTGTAGGTTTAGGGTTATAGAGTTTAGTGTAGGGTTTGTGTTTTAGGGTGCTCCAGGACGTGTGCGCCTGCAAACTGTTTCCCCCAACTTGCCACCGACTCATCTGACAGACTAAACCCTATGCCGGGATTCTCGCTGCGGCATGATGGATACATAAACACTTCAGTGCAGCGGCCACAGTAACAGCGAGTATCCAAACATTCCCATTAGATTATATTCCACAAGCAGTTGAAAACTACCTGAGGACAAAGAGTAGTAGATTTGCACCATCCCCCGCCCACCCCCGCAAAGCAGAATCCACCAGGGCCTCCGTAATCCTCAGCCCCATGCATTCAGGTGAAGTTCGTTGCGGCTCAGGGCTTAGGGTGTTTAGTGTTCGATGTTAGGTCTGTAGGACTTCTTGGCATCACTAAAACATAATGTAGGAACCTGATTAAGAAGCCCAGGGCCTATAACCCCAAAATAGTAATTAGAATTCATACAAGGAGCCCTGATAAAGGCCCAAGGTTTTTTAAACAGGTTCCTACATTATCATGAAGATCTTAAACCTGGGCCCGCGCAGGTGGAAGCCCCTGAACATATAGCCCCGAAGCAATCCCAAACCTGAATCCCCACACGCGAACCCATCTAAATCTCCATGGGGCTTCTAAGAGTCTGAGGATATGCCTGAACTTTGGGATACTTGGGCTCTCTGAGTTTGCAAGCCCTGAAGAACCGAAGCCCTATAGACCCGTCATGAAACGGTTGAGCTCTTCGGGGCCCGAAACCCTGAAAATCCCGAAACCTTGAACCCTTCAAGCCCAAAGCTCTAAACCCTAAAGCCCAGAGGGTCCAAGTACTCCCTATTATAGGACTGTAGGGCCTGATTCGGTACCAAAAGCCATAACTAAGGACTTGGACCCTTAATGAGGACCCCTACCCTGTAATGGGTATATAATAGCTATATTAAGGGTATATACCTAGGGGTCCTTATTAAGGGTCCCTCCTTTTACCCTTGGAAACCCTAAAGCCCTACGTGGAGGGGCAGGGGACTTAGTAACTAGGTTATAAGTAGACTTAGAAGTACCCTAAATGGAGTTACCCCGAATATAACCCTACTTGTAACCTACTTGCTAAGTCTCCTGCCTCTCCAAGTAGACCCTAAAGCCCTTATAGGAACCCTTATAGTAACCCCTACAGACCCCTTTCAAGGAACCCCTAAAGCCCTAGATTTCATGACCATCCAATTCGGCGAGAAACCAGGCAAGGACTCCATTTCGGCCGCCCTTGGGGACGAGGACCATTACGAAGAACTGGTCTGGTCACCCTATTTCCGTTTACTTAGGGGTACTTAGATTTTTTTTAATTTTGGGTTGTTATAATCCCTAAGAAACAGCTAAAATTACAATTGTTGCTAGGGTTCTAATTTCAGTATAGTTTATAAGGCCTAAACCCTAGACCCGATTCGGGAGTTTCCGAAATTTAGGGGTATCTTATTTTGGGGTCCTTGTAAGAAGGATCCTACTATTTAGGCTACTAAATTAGGGTTAAATATGTTCGGAAGCTCCCATTGTTGAACAAATCTTAGCCATCGTGGTAAGGCTTCCCTCTGGTTAGTAGGGAATGGAGGAATGGGGTGCAATTATAACTACCGTTACTACCATTCTTCCATTCCCTACTAACCACAGGTGAGTCGCACCTGCATAAAACCAAAGAAAACCTCAAAATCTGTGACCCCACGAGATGCTCCAACATGCCAGAAGTGAGCCATGGTTACTTAAGCTCCCAATCTTTTAACAAAGCTTAGCCATCGTGGTAAGTGGGTCCAAGCATGCTCCTAGCACACCGATCCGACCTACTGCACGGACGGTAGATTTTCTTTGTACCTGAGTTTGAAAAGCCCAAACAACCCCTATACAAGCATGCAAAGGCCCTAAGTAACCTCGCGCAGCTCCTTTTGTGACACCTCCCCAAACCCTAATTAACCCTGAATCCTAAACCTTATAAACCCTAAAGCCTAAACCCCTAAACCCTAGATAGGCAGGCGGAAAAAGGTGCTTAAAAAAAAACCCTAAACCCTGAACCCTAAATTCTTATCAGCTTGTGGCAAGCCCGACAGGATCCATCTAAGCCATTGGTGGTGTCATGTCTAGGATTTTGCAGCGGGGCTATAGGGTGTCCAGGGACTCTGTGTCAGACGGTCTGGCTAATGTCAATATTGAATCTGAAATCTCGGTTGAGGGTTTAGGGTGTGGAACTGTTAATGATGCTAATTAGAGATTATTGAATCAGAGATCTCGTTTGTAAGGGACTTGTGTTAAAGGCGTCAATGCTTTGGACATTGGCTGAGTCATTTTCCGCGCTTTGCATTAATCACCGGTTCTAAAAGTTGGGTTTGGCGAACCCGTGTAAGGACCCCACACAGCTGAGCGTGCCCCTTGGCGAGAGGGGTGAGAACGAGGACTCTGTTAGCCCCAGCTTCTGTTGACGGCGTAACAAAGTCTTTTATACGCCTGCTTGTTATAGTGCTAAGTTCACTGAGTTCAGCCAGAATGTACATGACCCTGTTCCCCCCTTTTCGGTACCATAGCGTACCAAAAATATTCCACGCCGACTTAGGCTTGTCGTCGCTGCCGCGAAGGTCTACAAGAGCGATGCTACTTGGTGGCTTCGAGGTATCTGGCGAAACCGTACCAACATAATATAATACACAGAACTAGCAACGATCATCATCATCATCGTCGTCGTTTATCCAATCGTCGTCATATGCACATGAGATACCAAGTTTTCACCATTGGCGATTGTCGCTCACATTTTTTGTCTAATGTTGTAACATTGGAGGCAAGTTCCTTTATCGGCCAGTTAGATTGCTTAATAAAGGGGCCTAAACAATCTTTGGGGATCCTTATCATGATTTTAGTATAATGTACCCCCAAACCCTACTCTAATTACTAAGGCTCCTACATTAAACACCTTTGTTTGCCTCCGAGTTTCGGAGCTACGAGGTCCCAAAACAAGGATCAGAAAGCTCGCGCTGGACCCATCGCAACGCTCCACACTTAACGGGTCATGGGACATACAAGCTACCAGTTGCTAGAAAGGGCAGCTAAATTTGTATATAACTACTTATACCGCTAATTGAGGTGATTACTTATAGCCGTACTTACTGAGTCCCATGACCCTCCTTTCTAGAGCCCTTGTAGATCCCGTTAAGGAACCTCAGTAAAGAACGCTATAGTACCTTATATAGCCATACTTGCTAACTTCCATGACCCTCTACGTAGGAAGCAGGAGTTTCGATTCTGGTTCTGGAGCGCTCGGAACAGTCGTGCTGGGATCCTACTGTTGATGATACAAATCCTGCATTACTTTCAGGACCCGAAACTATGGGAATTATGGTATGTTCCTTATTATGGGTAATGCAGGATTTATTTATCCCTAAACCCTAAAGCCTATAGATCCCTTAAAGGAGCCCCTTAAAGGTACCCTTATAGATCCCTTGAAAGGAACCCTATAAGAACCGTAGGATTTGGGGGTCGAAGCTTGCTGGCTCCAGGGCCTCGGGACAAGGTTCAAGGTTGTGGGTTTAAGGCTTAACTCATGGGTGCCATGAAGGGGATCTATAAGGGTGCCTTCAAAGGGGTTCCTTTTAAGGGATCTACAGGGTTTTAGGGTTTAGGGTTCAGGGCGATGATATAAGTTAAAGCGTTTGAGGGTCTAGGTTTTACTTTCAGCCGAAAAGACCTACCTTTTTAAAGAACTTTCTAGAAACCATAATAAGGAAAGGGTAGGTCTTTCCGGCTATTTGTAGGGTTTTGGGTTTAAGGTCTAAGACTTAGGGTGTAAGTTTAGGGTTTAGGTTTAAGGTTTCGGGTTTAAGGTTTTAAGGTTTAGATTTGCTTAGGGTTTGAGGGGGAGTCCAGATGTTTTGCGTTTCGAGTGTAGGTCTTGCAAGATATGGGAGTTTCCGAAACTTAGGGGTACATTATTTTGGGGTCCTTATAGTAAGGATCCTACTATTTAGGGTACTATATTTGGGTTCCCTATTTTCGGAAACTCCCATATCGGCATTGGCGCATATATGGTGTCTTGGAGGAGTTCAGGATCTTTACATTCAAGGTATAAGAAGACTCTTAACATTGAAGCTTTCGGATTGCAGGAACCTCGCATTTTGGGGTTCTCAGAGTTTTAGGATCTTAGGCTGTTAGGATAGGCTACCGCGTGACAGAATATCATTTCAGGACTCCTCTAGGCTTTTGGATGGGCTCAGTATCCCAAGCCAAAGTGCTCTTGTCAGCCAAGAAGCAGGTGCTTCGAATCCGCACCAACGCCCTTCTGAAGACCTAACAGACACCGCAATCCATAGCCCAAGCCTCAACAACACTAAGCCCCAGACCCTGCACCTTAACCTTGAAACTACCCGAAACCCTACCCGAAAATCCAGACCGTCCTAAACCCTGAACCCCAAACCCTCTGTGGCCAAGGTAAATCGGGCCTATCAAGAAGTTGGTTTTCTGAGACTCTGATGCATGTCAGAGATCGAAATTCGTCTTGTTAGTTTTGATAGAGTTTTTTAGGGTGTTGTGTTTGAGGCGTGTGGGTTTTCTCGAGACTACCCAGACCCTCTGCAGTAAGACCCTACCATTCGGGGACATGCGGCACACTTGAGGGTGCACGACGGTTCCTGGTATGTGAGGGTTTGCGGTTTAGAGTTTTGGGTTTAGGATGTTCAACAGCTCATGCATCATCGCTGCTATCGTTGGTATTGTGTCGCTGCCTATAGTACCATGGTTCGCAGTATTTCGGATGGCGTGTGCCTCGATGTTAGAAGTTCTCAAAGGATTTGACAAGAACTCTGGCTTCCTGAAATATGCGCGGCACGTCTGCAGTTGTGTTTCAATTCAGGCTGTTGACAGATTGAACAGCTTTTGAATGTTTGAATAAACAATTTGAATTCCTCCGCGCAGCATCTTCACACACATCTGAATCCTAAAGCTTACAGCCTACGCTCAACCTCGTGCATTACATCCCTAAACCCTAATCCCTCAACCCTAAACCCTAAAACCCTTAACCCTAAACACTATTGAAGCTCCATCTGCACTGTAAACTGGTGATGTCCACGTGAAGAACCCTGCTGACAACGAGGCTAGGTGCGGCCAGGTTCACCACCCAAAATCCTGAACCGCAAACCCTTAAAGGCTACCACACCGAAACCTGTTAGTTAGTAAGACCCCAGCCCTAAAACCCAAGATGCTAAAGCGTCTTGTGACAGCCTGCAGAAACGACAAACCGGCAAATCATTGGCTGCACATCAAGCCTCCGTACAAATTGCATGGGTTGCCGTCGGATTCTGAACTATGGATGATAGTGTGAGAAGCATGTTGCCGAATGCTTCGGGTCAGAGAGTGCTTTAGGAATATAGGCCTATTTTATGCGTTTTTTTTCGCTTATTCAAGCCGGGTACCAAAAAATGGGGCGGCTCAATCAATGCGATCTTTTTTTGGCAAGGAAATATTTTTTGGGGGTTACTGTCTGCCGATGGTCAATCTTAAGGCACCCACGAGCTGGGGGGGCTGGAGCTGGCTGAATGCTTTGCTTGCTGGGGGAATGTGCTCTCTGGCATTATGCTTTGCTTATTGGGGGAGCGTGCTCCCTGGCTTTATGCTTTGCGTTTTGGGGGGGCTGCTCAGGCGCTGGCTTTATGCTTTGCTTATTGGGGGAATGTGCTCACTGGCTTTATGCTTTGCTTATTGGGGGAGTGTGCTCGCACGACGACTGTACTATTACTGTACTATTACTGTATGACTACTGTACTACTACTGTACTACTATTGTACTACTACTGTACTACTACTGTACTGCTGTACTACTGTACAACTACCACCACTACTACTACTACTGCTACTACTACTCCTATTGCTACTACTACTACTACTACTATACTACTACTCTACTACTACTGTACTACTACTGTACAGCACCAGGCCTCAGACATGCTCGATTGTGGGGAGTGAAGGTTGGAGGCAAAAGTGTTCGAAATGAAAGGTTTTTTAAACGTGGTAGCTATCTTGGAGTGATCGGGGTTTTGGTTTCCAGCTTTTGGTGATCCCCAAACCCCGCTAAACAGCTCCAGATGCTCCTAAACCCTCGTGTGTTTCGTTTATTAAGGGTTAGGAAAGAGAATTGCTTGCCGAATTGTTTCGCTTATTGGGGCGTTAGGAAGGAAAATCTCTTGCAGAATTGTTTAGAATTGCTTCGCTTATTGGGGCGTTAGGAATGAAAATATCTTGCAGAATTGTTTCGCTTATTGGGCATCAGGAAGGAAAATCTCTTGCAGAATTGGCACTGTACTACCGCTGTACTACTACTGTACTACTACAGTACGTGCAGTAGTACAGTAGTCGTACCGTAGTGGCACAGTAGTAGTACAGTAGTAGTACAGAAGTAGTACAATAGTAATACTAGTAGCACAGTAGTACAATAGTAGTACAGTAGTAGTGCAGTAGTAGTACAGTAGTAGTACAGTAGTAGTACAATAGTAGTACAATATAATACTACAGTATTACAACGGTAGTACACTAGCAGTACAGTATTAGTACAGTAGTAGTAGTAGTAGTAGTAGTAGTAGTAGTAGTAGTAGTAGTAGTACAACAATAGGACAGTAGTACAATAGTAGTACAATAGTAGCGAAGCAGTAGTACAGTAGTAGTACAATAATAGTACAGTAGTACAATAGTAGTACAGTAGTACTACAGTAGTACTACAGTAGTACTACAGTAGTAGTAAAGTAGTACGACAGTAGTAGTACAATAATAGTACAATAGTAGTACAGTAGTAATACAGTAGTAGTACAAAAAAAGTACAGTAGTACAATAATAGTACAGTAGTAGTACAGTAGTAAACTATTCTACTGCTGTACTACTGTTGTGCCGCACCAAGCCTCAGACGAGCTAGATTGTGGAGGGGAATGTAGGTTGAAGGCAAGACTCTTCAAATTGAACGGTTTTAGTCTTGGTAGTTATCTTGGAGTGATCGGGGCTTGGTTTCGAGCTTTTGGTGATCCCCAGACCCCGACCGCACCCAAGCCAGCCCCCAAACCCCGGCACCTCCCAATTCCCTGCCATCCAGACCCTGACCCCGGTCCGAAGGGTCACTGACACCAGACTATTCGAGCCAAAACTTTTGGTCGGGGGGGGGGGCCATTATTCGGGCCGCAACATCATTCTAGTCGTTGTAATGACACCCCTTTCCGAATTTCTTCGGATAGCAATGCCAAGCCTTGATATTTGAATCTGGAAGGCTCGTCACATTCTTAAAACAAAAAACCTATAACGTTGTGCCCAGCTCTGCAAATTGGCCGGTACGCGTTTTCAAGAGTTTGTGTGAGGGCTTTGCCGCACTTGTAACCCGCATCATGTCCTGAGCCGAACACTGCCCTTGAAGTTGAATGTTGAGCTTCCAACCTTGGCGGAAATGAGCTGTCAGAGTCGGCTTCCTATCATTAGCGGTTCGGAATTACATGGAGCATGTGTACTCCACGCATAGCTACCGAGACCAGTTGTTTCGAGCTGAAATCTTGTGGCCGCAACAGCAAGGTGGTGCGATGCCTCGTACAAGCCTTGATTTGTTTCGACAGATAACTTTCATGCTGGCTTGTTTCGTCACAACCGAGCTTGCTTCGGTAGCGCTTCATCGCAAGAATCACTAGGAAGTTCCAATCTGCTTAAGATTGAACGCATTCGAGGAGAAGGTCGCTGGATGTGGCGCCATGTAGGCTTGGGAATATGCGAAGTTGTATTGTATGCCCTTCGGTGTTTTCGTCATACCCGGGTCGTCCAGGCTCTCAGCTGTTGTGTTTTCGCCGGCTTGTCCACCCCATGGTGGTTCAGCGTTCGGGATGTCGAATTAGGAGCTTCGAACCGATCAGGATGTCAGGGTTTGATCACGCATGGTGATTCGTCGTGTCGAGCAGCTAGTTTTTGCTTTCACCTCAGGTCTTCACGGAGCATATGCATGTGTATTAATGCGGTTTTGTATAGCTTTCATGTAGCTTGTCTCGTTCTGTCTGTATTGAACACAAACTTTCTTGTCGCGCACAGCCAACATACGATTGATCGGTATGTCGAACATGTAGCCCACATATATGTATATTCGCATACTTCGCACATCCATTAGGGTGCTCTGACGCTTCAGACATGTGATCGACATTTGATGTGGGCCACTAAAGCAGCTTAGGCCCTCAAACTTTGACTCTGACTTGCGGAAGTGCAGGAGCCAAGTCCGTTTCTCAACATCTGTGGAACAGCCCCCCAAAAGCATTGGATCCCCGCCTGACAGACAATCCTGTTTTGCAAAGTCCGGCTCCTAACGCACACAGCAGATTTTCGCAATTCCGAGGGATGAGCTTCGAACTGTTTTTGATACACTTATATTCTACATCCTGGAAGTCCCACGCCGCGGAACCATAGCATGCCCAGGAAGCAGCAGCCTGTTACGTTTCCGCCGCCCACGGACATCAACGTGAATATGTTGCCTTTCACCCTCGGCAACAAGGTGTCGCGATGTCAGGGTTTCGGGCTCATGTCGTGTGTGCACATAAAATATTTGTATATCTATTCTACACGCATAAGATCATGTACCTAATTATTCACCTACAATCATAGGAAGTTTGTACATATACCCGACCCGCCAAGAGGGGAAGGCAAGAGAACAGTCAAACAGAGTCATATCCCTAAATCATCCATCCGTATACGACAGCTTCCGGTCTTCTGTTTTGCGGTTCTCAAGCTTGAACCCGCGAATGCCGCATCCTGAACTGCTTAAAGCCCCTGGACCGGACATCCCTAAGCCCTTAAACCCGAAAACTCTTGTTGTACCCTTTTTTTATTCCTTATCATGAGCACCCTTGCAGAAACCCCCTCTTTCAAAATCACACCACAGGGCCATGTTCTGGAAACCATGCAACCCCAATCCGGACTGCCTCTTGCCACCTACTTAAAGGATCATGGGACTTAGTAGCTAGGGCTATTATTGGGGTAACTATACGTATGAATGCTCACAACCCCAATTCAGGTACTTATAACCCTAGTTACTAAATCCCAAGATCCTTTAAGTGGTGCCATCATGGTCAAAGGCATGGCCAGTCCTTTCTGGTTCCATAGAACCATGCACTCTCACCCTTGGTGGGATCCGACTATCTAATGTAGGAACCTGATTAAGAAACCTTGGGCCTTTATTAGGGTTCCTTATATGAATCCTACTATTTTGGGGTTACAGGGCCAGGGTTTCTTAATCAGGTTCCTACATTGAACCCTGAACCCTACACCCTGAAGGCAGTCTAAACCCTAAGCCCTCAACCCTAAACCCTAAGTCACTCAACCCTAAACCCCTAACCTCCCTGCCCCCTGGCAGGAGTCCTTGCCCGCGTACTTGCAGGGATACTGGCCGCTCATTTCCGCCTGCCGAGTTCAGGAAGAGGACTCGTAATCTAAGGGGGATTAGGGTTTAGGGTTTGGGGTTTAGGGGTTTAGGGGTTTAGGGGTTTAGGGGTTTAGGGCCTATAGGGGTTTAGGGTTTAGGGGTTTAGGGTTTAGGGGGGACCTTTATAATGAGGTTTCTGGGTTTTGTGCTTTTAAAGGGTTTTGTTAAGAATTTTGACCCGGACTTGCAGCCTTAGTGGCCTCGGCACGGACGTTCTGACGTAACTATCGTGCGTACTGAAATCGTGCGTTCTGAGACCGTACGTTCTGAAAGACCTGATCAAGTTGCACCTTTTGGCCCTGAGTTGTAGTCTGCTTGCATTGGCCTGGTGCATCATGGCAAGAGAGCCGCTAGATGCTGCTCTTGCAGCAGATCTGGAGCGGCTGGGACATGATGCGGCTGCGGTGGCTGCTGGCAAATGGCCTACTCGAAACCTGACGGACAGGAGTCTGCAGTTTCTCAGAGGCCGGACACTCCATGTGTTTCTTGGACCCCTCAAAACGCACCATTTCTGGGCGACACAGGAGCAAAGGCATAGGAGGGGATTTCATTGAGGGTCCGCTCCATAGAAATTGTAACAGTGGACACGGATTGGTGCGTTTATAAGCCGGCTGAAAACGCACACGTACGTTTTCGGATGCCTCGTGCATTTAGGTCCAGGCAGTTCTTGATCGATTTGGCCCTGAAGGGTTCACTGCATTGCCCGACTGTTAGCTCAACCTTTTCCGTATCAGGCCGCTTCATCTGCGGGATCTTGAATGACAAGCACACATATTTCTGCAGGCGGTGTTCCTGGACGTGTCGCCAGAGAAGTGCGAATAGATTGTTCGAGCATGCGGTGTTTGGCAAACACGTGAAGCTTTCGTCGTACTTGGACATTCATGGTCTAGAGTCGAAGAACCAAGTGCCTCAGGAGACACAGCAGTTTATTGAACGATATCGTGGCACAGGGAACTGCACCTCTCCGTGCGAACAACCCGTCGACAAGGAAGAAGCCCTGAACATGGCTGATTTGGGAGAGCCAGCTGCCATAACCTGGTGCAAGTTCAACAGATGGCTGCCTTTGTCATGGAAACCTTCTCGGACGTCCAGCCCAGCGCAAGGTGAGCTGCAGATGGCTGGCCATGCCTTGGATCAGGGAGCTTTTGCTAAACTTTAGACTGTAGAACTTTCGCTGGAGGGAGAATGTTTTCAGGGTGCGTTTTCCGGACCCTGAAAAACGCACAGCGGTTTTTGTGTGGCCCATGCCCAGGAGCAGCCGAGCGCAAACACGTGGTGGCCATGGTGTGCGCTGCCATGTCTGCTCGGGCCCAGGATGTTGATGCAGCTGACAGTACATGACGCGTCAAGTGCATCTTTGCATCTTCAGGTTCGCTCCAACGAGCATCCGATGTGGCGAGCCTTTCTCAAGACTCTCTCGCCAGAATACAGAATCCCAGAACGACACAGGATTTGGAGCCTCATCAAAGAGCTTGATGAGGCCATCTCTTGCAAATTGAGAGAGCTGCTGAGTGATGCTTCTCAGATGTGGTTCCTCACCAGTGACGGGGCGACCAGCAAGGGTGAGGGCTTGCTCTCGATCGATTGCAGAAACTCTCATGGTGACTGTTACCATTTAGCTTTGATCAATGGGGAATGGCGAAAGCAAGATGCTGTCTGGATCAAGCAACAATTGAAAGTGGCAGACCCAGTCAGTCAGCATCACTCTGAGCATATGTGTCTTCTTCCGAAAAGCATGCAGAATCTCCAGCGCTCCTGAGGTTCACACCGACCTGATTCCACCGGGGAGATTGGCTGGCCTAAGCTCTTGGCTTAATTATACAGCAGAGACTTGTGAACAGTCCTATTCTTTTTAAGTCTCTAAGGCCAGGACACAGCTAGCACTTGCCGGAAAGCATTCCGTCTCCTTGCGGAAGAGTTACGTGCCTCGGGCCACCATCGCCTGGATTATGTCTCTTGCGGTGAACATGTCGCCCAACTTCTTCATCAAGACCTTGCACGCTGCATACCTTGGGTCCAGGATCTTTCTGAGCATCAGAGTCTGTGTCTTTGCTACTAGTTTCGCATGATGCTCAGCTCAGATTCGGCTCCTGTCAGGAGTCTCACGAACGTGCTCACAATGCACAGAAGGTGATTCTAAAGAGGAAGCGTGCACGGGCCTTTGTGACGGGCGCCCAGAAGCATGCAGTATCTGTTGGGAAGCTGCGCCGTCTCCGAAAGCTCAGAGTGATTCGAAGAACCCGATTCAATTCCCGGGTGCAAGTCCTTGACTCCTTTCTGCTCAACACTCCGCTGATGCGGAGGGTCATTGCAGCTCCTGCCTTTGCGGCCACCATGCAGGTTGACAACGCCAGGAAGCAGAAGAGGGTGGACGAGGCTATGAAAGCTTGGTCTTACGATGCCACATACCACAGAGCACGACGTGCTCTGATCATTGGAGCTCCTTGCGCCGTCCCTGGCCCAGTTGACTGGAAAATTGCATGTTTCTGGACTCTCAGTCATCTTGGAATTGCGACCCGACCCTCCCTTGTGCGTTTTTCCAGGCGCGGAAAACGCACAGATTTGCGCTTCTTCCCTGTGCGTTTTTGCAGAAAACGCACGCGTCCTGTGACAATCAAGCAGCCACTCAGGAAACCCACTCGTGTCCCCAATATTTCGAACGTCCTCATGTCTGGGTGCTTATTGTCAACCCTGCAAAATGCACTTGCGTCCGCTACAAGTTTCAGTCGTTTATTGTGCAGTCGTTCCAGACTTCCTGTGTGCAAGTCTGTAGCTGTACAATGTAAATGTTTGAAGGATTTGCAAGCTGTGATTGATTCCAAATCCACATGCCTGCGACAGAGGTTCTTACCCGCAGAGTTGGCGGTGCAGACTTTTTCAAAGCCCACGCTGCCTGGCTGCACGCCCGCAACGACATCATCAAGGCCGTCGCCGACCATGACTTCGTGGATCACAAACGCAAGGAGACAGAGGCAGTGCTCCAGACTCGAAGGAATGCCATGGCTGAGATTTTGGACAAGCGCTCTGAGGCTTACTGCACCGCTGCCCACAAGGCTGCATTCGTTTTGGACCCCCGGCTGCAAGACTACGTCAACGACCCCGATGCAGATGAAGAGCTTGGCTTCTCTTTCACGCAAGCTCGACAGGCCATCCAAGCCCAAACTCGTTTTGTTGCAAAGATGATGCTGTAACTTGTTTTCCGTACTTTGATCCACGTAGCGCGTGAAGGACGCCGCCTATGTGCTCAACAGCGAGTACCTCCCAAAGTTTTTCTCCGAGCCCACACAGGTCAGGCAAGCCCAGTCGGCTGTTCGCGACTACTTGGCACACTCCGGGCCCTTCAAGAATGTCACTTGGCCCGACAAGAGTGCTTCCGTCGCGGATGTGGTGGGGTTTTTCGAGACCGGCCAGCCATCCTGGTTCCTGCGTGAATTGGGCCTGCACTTTGCAGCCCTTGCAGGCTCCCAAGGCATGTCCGAAAGAACTTGGGCAACACTTAGTCGCCAAGCTCAGCCGATCCGTGCCCGACTCATCTACCCTGCCAAGAAACGGTTGTTGAACATCGCCGCCAACTGGAAGCTTCTTTACCCGGACCTTGCTCCCATGCCGCCAGAGAGGAAGCGTCGAAGGCATGATTTTGAGATTCCGACCCTCGCAAGTCGTCGTGCCGGTCCATCGGAGCCCGCCGCTGAAGGTCCACAACGCTGTGATGAGTCGTCTTCCTCTACGAGCTCCTCCAGCTCGTCCTCTTCCAGCAGCAGCAATGTGCGCGAGATTCCCGACCAAAATGAAGATGAAGATCAAGGCTTTCCAGGTGATTCGCTTGTGGATGATTTGGAGGGTAGCGATGCCCCTGAAGAGGCAGTAGCTGCCAGTGCCTTGCGTGCTTTGGGCCTGGAGCCCTGAAATGTTTCTTCTCGGGCCGCCAATGGCGGCCCAGGATTTCCTGAGCAACAAGGCAAAGAGGAACATGTTAGTATGTTTCGCAATCATAGTCTGGGCACTCTGTATTCTTGGATCGTTCTGTGGGAGCTTCTCAGATCATCCGATCGTGATGCCGTGATGCCTTGTTCTCCAGTCTCATGTGGCTAACCTCAGTCGGGGAGCCGCGACCAGGGTGTCTGTGCGTTTTCACGGCAATTAGAAACGCATTGCGATGAGACACCACAAGCCAAGTGTATTTATTGTATAATAGTCTGGAGTTCGCTGTGCGCTTAGTTTCTGCCTGGAAACGCATCGGGCCGCCAATGCCAGTTGGCGGATCGGGGTTTAGTGAACAACAGGCAAAAGCATAGAGGAAGATGTTAATTAATATGATCGCCATCATTGTTTGGGAAGTAAGTAAACTTGGATCGTTCTCTCTGTGTGTGTTTCTCAAGTCATCAGACTGTGATGCCTTGTTGTCGAGTCTCATGTGGCTAACCTCAGCCGGGGAGCCGCGACCACGGTGTCTGTGCGTTTTCACGGTTCTCACAAACTCATTGTGGTGAGACACCATAAGCCAAGTGTATCTGTATTGCATAATAGTCTATAGTTCGCTATGCGCTTAGTCTCTGCGTGGAAACGCCTCTAATCGCCCATGCCATGCATGGGGGGAGCGGAGTTCAGTGAACAAGAGGAAAAGGCAGAGAGGGTGTCTCGCTTGGCAGACACAAGGTTTTGTGGACACTTCGCTGCTACATGTCAGTTCATGGTTTGTGTGCGTCTAGGGCGGCGCCCAGAAAGGCACGCACGATCTTTGCAGACCTGCCATGCCGTCGCTGTTTTCAAGGGTGCCCTGTTGTAACTATTATTGAATCTTGCAAGCGATGCTGCCAGCAGAAGCCGAATGTGACTGCACCTTCAACTGGACAATTTCAGGTTCCCATAGAAGGCTTGGGTTTGGCTCGTCTTCGTCAGGACCAGCTGCACATGCACAGGGGCCACGTTGCCAATGTTTCCATTGCAATACGGTACAGAGGGGTTGCCATGCGTTTCTGGCTTGGCTGAAAACGCACAGGGCCGCGACAGGCTTTGGTGCAAGATGGGCGCAAAGAATGGCTGCCATGGCAGCAGAAAGGTGTCCGCAGCCCCAGAAGCTTTTGGTGGCGACTGGGGTTGAGAGATGTTGATGTCGCAGGGTTTACAAGGTCTGGTGGGGGGCTAAAGCCTTCGTACTCAACATGGTGCCGCTCGGACTGTCCTTCTTCAAGGTGTTGGGATGCTTTTAGAGACATTTGTTGCAAGGGTTTGGGGTTTAACATTCCGATAAGGAGATGCTGTACGCATCTGGGGTTTAGGATTAGGGTGTCTTTAAAAGGATGATCTAAGGGTTGAGGGTTGCAGTTTTTAAAGATTCCTTCCAAGAGATGCTATACGGGCGGTTGCTGTTCAGGTTACTATAAAGCGTTGCAAAAAAAGGCTCCAACACGGACAGGGCTGAGGGGCTTCAGGACTTACGCAGCCGTAAGCCCCCCTGGAAGTCCCTTCAAAGGGGTTTAGGGACCGGTGATTGAGGTTTCCGGCTGAGGTGAGGAACGGAATCCTCACGGTGCAGGGCTGGGTGATTCCAGGTTCGTTCAAGGATTCGGGTTTAGGGTTTAGGGTCTGTTTGGGGTTTACGGTTTAGGGTTCAGGTTTGACGGTTTAGGGTTGGTCCAGGCTTGGTTTCGGGTTGGTTTAGGCTTGGTTTAGGGTTGGTTTAGGTTCGGGTTTAGGGCAATGTTGTGAGTTTTGAAGCCAGCACTGAAAACTCAAAGTGCGTTTTTCGACCCTCTTACAACGCATTTCGAATCCGAACCCACGTCCTCAGCTCTTAGCCCTGTCACTCCCAGGCATGTCTAGCCCTACAAAAAAACAAACCCCAAAACCCCAAGCCGTAGGCCCTCAACCCTAAACCCTCAACCTCAAACCCGCAAAGTGCGTTTTTGGACCCTGTCAAAACGCACAGAATTCGAAGCCAAGAACTGAACCTTCAAAAACCTAAAAACCGGAAGCCCTGTCTCTTCAAAGGCGAACCTGCGATTCGCCATCTGCGCCCGAGATCCGAGCGTGCTGCGCTTACCGGCCTTCACCCTATCGCCGAACTGCAGCCATCAGTCCCCGGTTTAGGCTAGTTTGGCTTTGGGTTTCAGGGTTGAGGGTTTGGGGTTTTAGAGTTTAAGGGTATGTGTTTACCACAACGAGAGTCCGTGTAGAAGGGATGCTTCATCCCACTTTTTGAAACCTCAAAAAAAAGACGAGAACCCTAAACCCTAAATCCTTAAGCCCAAAGCCCTAAAGCCTCAAAACCCACGTCCACGGAAGCAAAGGGCAAGACGAGAACCCAGCTTGCGCACCTCAGCCTTCCGTGAGGTGGGTCCCGGCTTTAGGTTTAGGCTAAGGGTTTGGGTTTAAGGTTTGGGGCCCTCCTGTGCGCTGAGACCTTCGCCCATGTCCTGCTGTAGTAAGCCTCCATAAACACCCTTGCCCGTTAACCGAACCAGCAAAATCTCCTCGTGTAGTAGTCACCACCACCACCACCACCACCACCACCACCACCACCACCACCACCACCACCACCACCACCACCACCACCACCACCACCACCACCACCACCACCACCACCACCACCACCACCACCACCACCACCACCACCCGTGCCCGAAAAGGGAAATCAAAATGCGGTTCCCCACCCCCGTCCTGGGATGGGGGTGGCAACCGGGGCACGACCACCACCACCACCACCACCACCACCCGTGCCCGAAAAGGGAAATCAAAATGCGGTTCCCCACCCCCGTCCTGGGATGGGGGTGGCAACCGGGGCACGACCACCACCACCACCACCACCACCACCACCACCACCACCACCACCACCACCACCACTTAGAGGACTTATAACCCCAGTTATAACCTACTTACTAAGTCCCATGATCCTCTAAGTAAGGGAACGTTGGAACGGCAACCCCCTACTGGCATAAAGACTCTGGGTTCAGGATTGTTGAGGCATGGTCGTGGGTTCTGATTACAAACCCTGGAAACCCGCAAAAACGTAGGTTTTGGTAATTCAAGGTATACCTTAACCTACCAAAACCTACTTTTTTGTAGGGTCCCTGGAAATTCCATATTAGGGTTTATAATAAGAACCTACAAGAAAGTAGGGTTTGGTAGTTTAAGGTAGGTTAGACACTTACGGGTGGCAGGGTTTGGAGGACATCGCCTGGAGTCCGGATTCCAATTTGCCAGGAGTTGAAGCTCGTAAAGTAAAACTACTAAATAACAAAAGGGGATGGCTAGGGTTCAAGCCTTTTAGGGCTTGTCACTGATTCGTTTTTAGGGGTTTGGGTTTTATGGGTTTGGGGTTTAGGGTTTAGGTTTAGGGTTCTTGTCGGGCTGCAGGCGTTTGCTTCTTGTTGTTTTGCTTTGTCTTGGTCTTTCTAACGTTGGTGGATCTTGTTGAAGGGACCCCGTGTAGACTTCACGCCAAACTCTAGACATAGACCTTCACCCTCCAGCGCCGAAGCCGCGAACCCAAAACCCAAGCTGCGCTACTCTACACCCTGAACCTCTTTGCATGTCTAATATCGTTACAAACTTTTCGCACCTTTACACAACCCGGATGACAGCTTGTGAGAACCTGTAGAAAACTCTCTGAACCCTGAAAAACGCTGCGCAGACCGCTTACACAAACCATAAATGGCAACGGAGACACATTTAAAGCGTCGAGGCCAATAAGAAAATCTGTAAAGTCTGTATAGCAACCTTATACAACCCTCCACAAAGTTTTCTTAAAAAGTTACAGAAACCCTAAACTCCAAACCCTGATCCCTACACCATCTAAAACCTCTACAAAGTTTTTTACAAGTTAAAGCGAACCGCCAGGTCGTACTTCCACTCTCCGGCAACCTCGGCCCCTAGCTCCGCAGCACGGCGCACGACACCACCGACCAGGATTCCGGCGTTTTGGAGTTTAGAGTCTAGGATTTTAGGTTTCGAGTCGCGGAAGGCTTTTGGGGGGCATGGATTTAACTTTAGGGTTCAGAATTTACGGCATGCGTTTAGAGTTTAGGGTCTTTGAAAGCTTTGGGTTTTAGGGTTTTAGGGCTTGGGTTTAGGGTTCCAAGGGCGTTTAGGGCTTCTGGTAAACTACCGTTGTCTCTTTGTAATCGGTGTTCAGCTCGCCTAGGGTTTACTGGTTAGGGTGTAGGGTTTAAGATATGGGGAACACAAACCCAGAGAGCCCAATGCACCTGAAATAAGGAACATACCTTAAATCATAAGGGGCTTCATACTCTGATTTAAGCTATATTCCTTCATTAACGGCTATATGGGTCTTACAAAAACTCCATTAAAAAACCGTAAAGAAGCCCTTGAATGAACCCCAATTTATGGCCATATTCCTTAACTAGGGCGTAGTGATCACAGGGGAAGAGGACGGACCCTGAATGGGGACCCCTACCCTATAATGGGCTATATAATGGGTATATAGTATTATCTATATTAAGGGTATATACCTAGGGGTCCTTATTAAGGGTCCCTCCTTTTACCCTTGGAATTGAGCTCTCTGCTTGGAGGCCCGGGGGACTTCGTAAGTCGGCTATAAGTAGGGTAGTTATTATTGGGGTATCTCCATTTAGGATACTTTACTTATAACCTACATACTAAGTCTTCTAGGCCTCCAAGGAGGGGGTAAGGGGTATTGAGCTCTCTGGGAAGCTTTGTTGAAGGAGTGCGCACTGGGAGGGCGTTAAGCTTAAAACCGTGTCCCATTTCTGCAAAGTGCAATTCGCACGCGGTGCCCCGTCTTCGAGCTTTTCAAGTGCACTTGTAGCTCTGTCCCGACTCTCCTCGTACCATGGCGGCGCCGGCCATGGAGGCAGAGGCCGACTACCGGGAGGTGCTCAACTTGTTACCCGTGTTCTGGCTCCCGGTGTGCCTACGGGAGATCG